AGAGAAGAAAAATAAAAATAAAAATAAGGGTAAATATGTCTATTTAACATTTCAGGGGAGAAACAGTCACTTGAATAATTTAGAGGGAAAAAGTGCTATAAGTATATAACTCAGAGGGAAAAAGTGTTATTTTACCTTATTATTAAGAAGAAATAATTTTTTCCATGTTATCCCACGAACATCGCCTTTTCTTGAGCAGTGTTTTAATGCTAATCGTTGTTAAGCGATCCATCCAATATTCCCAGCATGTGACTGGTTTGACTTTTATTTTCTTATTTTTGTATTTAAATTTCTCACAGAAATTATTTTTCTTTCCATTTTAAATTAGTTGAGTAGACTCATAGCATTAGAAATAAGTATATATTTAATCTTGAGGAGTAAAAAATTAAAGAAAAGACTATTAGTCATATAGGTGCCAGTTGAGATTCATCACGCATAGGTAGCACGAATCTAATTAGTTGATTAAGTTAACCTCGAATTCGTTAGATCCAATGATCTGTTCCTTTCATGTTCTTTGTATATTCCAGCCCCCAAATCTCTGTTGACCAATCAGAATTAAATGCATTTTTAGATGAAAAGCAAATTGGATCCAATGCAAATAGACTAGTAACTATATACTAAGACTAAAATTATTTATTTCTGGTAAAATATCAAAGTGACAAAACATTTTCTCATAGATTTGATTAAGTTGGAAGACACTCGTGTCATCGCATTTACACGTACCCCACGTGTGCATAACTTACTTAATTGTGGAGTGTCAATCCAAATTGTAATTGTTTCATCCCCTTTCGAAAATTAATGAGCTGAGTGATTAGTATGGTTCCATATCCACTTCCCAAGTTGAAATTAAATTGTAAAATGATATTTAAATTATGGTCAAATTTCTAATTTTGAGCTTGTAAGGGTAAGATTTTAATTTAAATATTGTGTGATTATTGGCTGCTTGATACTTGATAAGGTTCTAAAGGAATTGAGAAAAGTTAATATAATGCCTGATCGGAGATACATATTACGACTCTATATGCATGTCCTTGTTTTAGTGTCACTCTTATTATAACTCTTCATTTGTATATATTTGTTGCTTATATGATATCAATAGGGTAGGGTTTTTCCTATGGCTGATCAATCTTCTGCTCATGTCGGTTCTGTTAGTTCTTCCGAATTGACTGTCTTGGATGTTGTTGTTGCGTCTTCGTTTCTTGCTACCACAAACTCCCTATCCACGGCTCATCATTTTATTATTATAAAATTAACAACGCGGATTTTTTGTTTTGAAGGACATAATTGGTTCCGTTTTTGCGTGGCCAAAATGTCATGGGTTCCAGAATATACAATTCTCATCATACATACGTACGCTTTGTACCAAATGCATGCATGCTTAGCTTCGTATACTTTACATTAATTTGCATGTGACGGCCGGTGACATCGTAAACTATAATCTTCACATCACATATTCACGTCTGTATTTTATTTAAATTATATATTGTTTAATACAAGACTCATTATTTGGATTAGTGGATAGTTGAAGCACCACGTTATCATGATTTTTTTAATTAGTATTATTATACACAAAATTAGAAAATAAAAACAGATCAGAGAATCAGCACGTACAAGGATCTCATCATTATTCCATTTCGACTACATTATTATGTACGAAACAAGGTAAAAGAAATATGTAAATAAGGAAGAATGAAATGGATAAGATGAAGATTATGAAAATTTTATGTAATGCATGTCTTCACATAAGATGATGGAATTTGTATTTGATATCAATGTATTGTATGTGCAAAAGAGTGAAAAAATTATTTCGAAATGAGTGATCAGGTGAGTGGAATATAATTATCGTACTAGAGAGTTATGCATTTAATTCTTGTCAATATACTTTCAATCGAACTTGACACAAAATCTTCTTAGTATTTGCAAACTATTACACTGGTGCAGGCCGGATTTATTTAATTACCAATTAGCAAGGATGTGCAAAAGGTAGTTAATTAAATTAGTTATAGACAATTAGGTTAATTAGTTAAATTAGTTAGATTTGGGTTCTATTCTCTATGTGTATATAAAAAGTGTAAAACTAAACCAACTGCGGCGATTCTACACAATTGAGATCAAAGCTCCAATCTTGAAAGTAATATATTACTTTTTTTTTTAATTTTTTTTGCATGTTACTTTAATTAGGGCGTTATTAAACTTACATTATACTTCATTTGATTTATTTAAACATAATAAACATCATCCGATCCACGTTCAACGCATTCCACCTGACACTAAAGCTCTATAAATTCAATCCTTAACTCGTACAATTAATCGATAATACATTGTGTTTCCAGTTTAAGAAGTGATCAAGAAACATCTATCTTATATTACCTTTTCGAAAGTCATGGAATCCTCTTCCATTACAAAAATCGCAGTTCTCCTCGTCATAGTTGTTTCATTATTCGTGTCCCAGAATGAAGCTGCAACTTCGACCTCGAAAAGAGTGCCGGCAAAGTACACAAACTTCATCAAGACAAAGTGCAATGCCACCACCTATCCTTACCCTTGCCTGAAAACACTGCTGCCGTACGCGGCGTCGGTGAAGGGAAACGCCACCAATATGTGCACGGCGGCGCTCAAGGTGGCGGTGCAAGCGGCACGGAACGCCACGCTGACCGTCAAGGATATGAAGAAGAAGAAAGGGATTTCCACGACGGAGGGTGCAATCTTGAGGGACTGCATTGACGATTTGAAAGACGCGGTTTATGAACTGAAGGATACCTTGGACGCCATGGAACATCTGGGCGACGAGGACGGGCGGTTTCAGTGGGATAACGCCAAGACCTACGCCAGCGCCGTTATTACCGACATAGATTCTTGCATGGATGGATTTTCCGGCCAGAAAGTCGACGCGGCGCGGAAGCGCCAGATTAGAAACCTCATTTATTATGTAACACAGCTTGCTAGCAATGCTTTGTCCCTCGTCACCCATCTTTACTGAAAACCTACGCATGCATGCATTCTCCTCTCCTTCATGTTTATTATAATTAATATATATATATATATATATATATATATATATATATATATATATATATTTGGATGGTTAATTTCTATTTCTTTGGATTTTGAAAATTGTTAATATGGACTACTAATTAAAATGGTTTTTTTTTTTTTTTTTTTTTTTTTGAGAAAGTAGCTTATTGGTACTTTTCATTTGAACCGATCAGTTATGGACAAATTAGGCTATCCTAACTAGCTGATTATCTTTGTGTGGTCCTTACCAAATAGGATCACAACTCATAAGTTTGGTTTTACATAAAATGCACATTTAAATTGTGACTATAAATTTTTCATAAATCAAAACTAATGGTTTTGAGATTTTTTGTAAATTAAAAGTAAATAACGAAAAAAAACATTGGATAAATATTTTATTTTGGTTAGTTGATGGAGTATGACTTCAAGCATGTAACGTACCAACGTTAATTGACCAAAAACGTACGAGTTACGACTGCACATGTACGTGAAATACGTTAATTATACGTATGTGTATGTATAATACGATATATATATATAGATTGACCAGATTTGTAATAAACTATTGTATTAAACTTTCTGTACATTATAAAAAAAAAAAAAAAAAAAACTATTAAATTAAAAGAAGCAATTTGGACCTACTGCCCACCACACCTTTCTTTTTCTTCTTCATTATTTCGTATTCTTTTTTCCTGCTTTACAGCCGCAAATCACGTGGGTATGCATATGGTAATTAAAGTCGTCTTTGTCGATCTGCCTTTCACATCTTTCCAAATTTCCAGATTTCTTTAATATTACACTGCTACTCTGCCTGCTTTTGTTCGGCCAAAACGCACACTATTACTACAGTACATATCACCATCATTTTCTAGAGTATCAGAAGAAAGAAACTTTAGAAACAATCTTGACTTAAGTAAAATTTGATTTTTTGTGAGATTTGCCTATTGACGTATTCAGATTAATTAAGTTTGTCAGTTATGAATAATTTAAATTAGTTTATTTTTTGTATAGTCTTTTATATATTAAAGTTATAAATTGAGTTTCATCCGTAAAATCAAAATGATAATAGAAATCGAGGTTGGGTGGCAGGTTAATATGTATTTTCCCGCTTCATCATCTCATTGCCATTCCTATTTCTGATAAGGTTAGGCAAAAAATAAGTAGTGAACAAATGCTTCCTTAGTGTGTCCCCACAATTTGTTCCCATCTTTATAAATATCTCTGGTATATATAATATTTTAACCATGTATTAGTAAACTAAGCTACAAAACGTCAATTTCTTAACATGGTATATATGTGTGTGTAATTTAAATTGTAAATAGTCGCGTTATTATGAATTGTCTGGCACATATTAACATTATTATATAATAATTATTATGTGATTTGGGTATCTTAAAATGAACGTGGCTAGCTAGCTAGGATATATAGATACTTAGAACAGTACGTGCCAACCTTGTATTATTCATCATATTATATATATGGATTATATTGCTCGACTTTTTTGAAAGTGGATTTTTCGTCCGTGCCATGTTTTGACAACATTATGGGCAACACCATTCACCCGACAAGACCATTTAATTTTCACCAATAATTGCTACCTCCTCAATATTTTATTCATTTCGTTACAACCTGCCAACTCGTACAGATCGATGTTCAATATTGGACAAATAATTTTTTTATTATCATAAAATTTTTCGTATCCAATTATTATTATTATATTAAATTATTTTTAGATTTTATTCAAAATTCACTTAAAATTTTACAAGATGCTAACTTAATCAAAACAATATAATTAAGTTGAACAAACTGTTAATTTAGTTATTACTCCGTACAAGATTACAAGTTTAACTCATAGAACGTCTTTAACTTGAGCTGGTGAGCTAAGACAATATATACAATTAAATAGTGACGGTTGATACTCAGCGCTCATTAAAAAAAAAAAAAAAAAAAAAAAAAAAAAAAAAACTTAACCCAAATAGGCAAGGGTTGAAACCTTTTTAGGGTATATTTATAACTTTAATTTGACGGACAATTTACAACAAAATTCCAAAGCCATCCAAGCAAACATGACTTAGTGAAGTGCCTTTATAAAACACTAAACAGACAACCTTAAAACGGACAACCTTAAAGCAGCGACGACGTCTCAGGCTAGCTAGGTTGATTAGTTGTACTTAGAAGCGAACTGGTTGATTAGTGCCAAAGCATTGCTGGTGACCTGGGCAACGTTGGTGACACGGGCCCGAATGGAGGCCTTAATCTTGCCGTTCAAGGCCCGGCCGGCAAACCCGTCCATGCAGGTGTTCTCGTCGGTGAGGGCGGCGCTAATCCACGTCTGGGCATTGCTGATGTGCCACTGGAAGTCCCGGCCCATGTTCTTGAGCTCCCGGACCGATTTGCTCAGCCGGTCCACGCTGTCACTCATCTCGTCCAGGCAGTCTTTCAGAGCCCCATACTCTCTGCGCTTCAACCCTTTGAACTTGCAGAGCTTGTCGACGAAGCCCTTGGTGGATTGGGCCCGGTCCACGCTCACGGACAGGGCCGTCTGCACTAGCTGCTGCGGGCTTCGCTTGATGGTCGGGCCGTACGCCGCCAGGGAAGTGACGCATAGATCAGGGTACGTGGTGGCTTTGCAGGAGGTCTTGATGAAGCTCGTAGCAACCGTCGCCGCCGCCGACTCCGCCGTGTCGGAAACATACAAGATAGAAAGCACCACCACCGCCACAGCTTGAACCAACACTCTCGCCATTTTCTTTACTTATGACAGGCAGAGATCTTGAATAAAATAAAGAATGGCCGCAGCGTATTTATAGTGGCAAATGAATATGAATGATTATGGGCACAAGAATTTAGGGCCCTCCACGCTATCGTGCGCAGTGTGATTTGGGCTAACTTTATTGGAAAACAGAGGACAACTATAAGTCTATAAGTCAAAAATCCATTAATCAAGCATTAATTTGAGGTTAATAATGGAAAAACGCTTCAAGGCTTATTATATTTTATTAATTTTTTTTGCCTACATTTGGTACGGCGTTGAAATAAATTAATAATGTGCTGACCGTACTTGGACCATATTAATTAGTGCAATAATACTTACTAAATCTAAAAAAAAAATTAACTTCAATACGGAGTACAATTTTACTTTTCTACCGTTAAATACAAGTTACTTTTGATTAATATTAATTGAGTCATTGTTGGAAAAATGAAAAGTTCCTTGGTCAAAGTTGACCAAAGTCTCCAAAACTTGTGGTTAATATTGAGATGGAACTAATTTCACTTTTGGTCCCACGACTTTTGAGTTCGTATCACTTTTGGTGCACAACTTTAAATTTTTTCGATTTTGGTGCCTAACTTTGTTATTTGTATCAGTTTTGGTCCTTCCAGTCAAATTGACGGTAAAATATTTCCGGATTTTATATTTTAGGGGCGAAATCGTCATACCATGGAAAGATCTTCAATATTTAAACAAAAGAAAAATCATATTAAGAGGAAAAGAAGAGTTTGCCAATGGTCGAAACTATAAATCCCATAAATTTGTCTGGTTTCTGTCCGTCTTCCCCATTATTCTCATCGATCAAACACCTATAGATATGATTTTACAGTGATTTTATTTAGATATTGAAAATGTTTCCTTGGGATGACAATTTTACCCTAAAAATATAAAATCTAACAACATTTCGCTGTCAATTTGGCCGAATGGACCAAAACTAATAAAAATAACAAAGTTAAGCACCAAAATTAAAAAATTTTAAAGTTGTGCACCAAAAGTGATAGAACATTAAAAGTCGTGGGACCAAAAGTGAAATTAATTCTATTGAGATGTGCTCTTTAGGTGATGCTCCCTCGTCATTCTAGCTGACAAAGGATCACAAGAAAATAATCTAACCTAGGTTACTCATAGTTGATCGACTCAAACCAAGAACACTAATAAACAACTCCCGCAAGTAATTGAATATACCGATCGTAAATTATTAATAGTTGACAGACTTAAACTAAGAAGATCAATAAACAATTCCAATAAACCATATTTTCTTCCTCATCATATATTGTGGCCAGTAATGAAATAAGTGATTTTTTCCTCATATGTATAAGACACGACAAGGTTTGTCTACATTTAGACAAACGAAAAGATATAGGGGGTGTTTGGTAAATAGTCGTTAGCAGATTGAGTAGTTAATAGCATCAGTTGGTTGTAAAAAAAAATGTTTGGTAAATTAATTGTTTATTGATAGCTAATTACATGCAAAATGACATTTAAGAGTATAATTTATTTTAAAAAAAAAAAAAAACTGATCGAAAAAACTTTTTTGAGCAGCTTTTGGAATTTTAGCATTATGGAATAATAAGTTGTTACAAAAAGCTGATTAACCAAACACTCATATTGGTTGTTTAACAAAGTCAAACAGTTAATAGTGGTCAAACAAGTCAAAATTGACAAATAAGCTAATTATATATGCTACCAAACAAAGCCATAGAAAACACATAGAGAGTGTTTGACAAATAATTCTTAGCTGATTGGTTAGTGGTTTGACTAGTTGATAGTATTAGCTAATTGTAGAAAAGTGTTTGGTAAATTAGTTGTTAGCTGATAGCTGATTACATACAAAATGACTTTCTCAAAAAGTTAATCGAAAAAGCTACTTTGACAACTTTTTAAATTTTAACATTTTGGAGCAATAAGTTATTACAAAATGCTAACTAATCAAACACTATTAATTTTTTAACCAAATTAAACAACTAATATAGTCACTAGGACTATGTGGTCTAATGGTACCCGGGTTGGACTTCCATTTGGAAGGTTGTGAGATCGAGCCTCAGTGAAGGCGTTATTGGCTCTTTGTGTTTCAGTAGGTTGAGAAAGTATATGAACAGATACTACAATGTAATAGAGCTAGTAGCATTCAAAAAAAAAAAAAAACAACTAATATAGTCAAATAAGTTAAAATTGATTGATAAGCTAACTATTTTACCAAACGGGGCAATAATCACTTCTCTTTTCTCCTAGATGGTATATTACTCTGAAGAGATATGCAAGGTTCAATCTTTGTTCAAGATGCAAAGAAACAAATACCGTTCTGTAAGTTTTGGAGCAACAAGTTCGCTTTTAAGAATCTAGGATAATAGTTCTTCTACAATACAATATTTAATTTGTATTTCAATGCTAAATTTTCAACCATCCACATTTTTAAATAATAAATTAGAGAATCAAATCGAGATTGATGAGATAGTGAAAGTGGGTAATGTTTTGTGGTGTTGAAATTTTGAAATTTAATTTGCTACCGACACGGTAGAGAAACGCCGATATATAATGCCGACCAGAGGGTAGAAAATTAATTTTGTTAAAAAACGTTAAATGTAGCAATCGGACGTACGTTTTTTTTTTTTTTTTTTTTTTTCTTAATCACGAAAGCTGAGACACTATTTATTAGTATTCGACAAAAATGCTCTCACTCTCTTCTTCTCCCAATGTGTGTGTGTTTTTTTTTTAAAAAATTATAAGAGAATAACGAGGCTAAAACCCACTACTCCCACATAGAAAAACAACTTGGTATCAGTGAATCAGAAAGTCATTGGTATATTTCGTATTTTTAAATTTTCTAATTTATATCTTATGCGATTATTAAATACGTGATTGATGTTATAACGATATTATGTATATGTGTCAGTTGCAGTATTTTAATAATAATAACAATAACAATAATAACAATAACAACAACAACAACAACAACAACAATAATAATAATAATAATAATAATAATAAAGTCATGATCTAAAAATAAAAATAATGAATCCGTACATAGTAAAATATTATATGTACTAATATTATGTGATTCTTTGAATAGGAAACTAATATTAATACTGTACTATATAAATTTGATTTTCATTTTATTATTTAATTTACATTTTTTTTCTATAATATAATGTCACCATCATATGATGAAAATGTGTCTCATTTTAATAATATAATATTGGAATTTGTACAACTTTAAAAAGGCAAAAGATACTTGGTATAAAAGATGGGAGATTAGAAGGATGGCAACTACGGCCAAAGCATTCACACAAAAATAGTATTCAATTCTACAAAATACTATACATTATGTGTTAGAATAATATACATTATCATGAGTTAAAATAATGAAATTCCTAAAATAAGATAATATATATTATGTGTTAGAATAATGTTCCGTGTAATAGGTTATGTGAAAAAAAATTGCGCGAAACGATATCAGTTTTGAACTGTTGGCCACACAATAACTATTGGAACTTTACCTACCAGGCTAAATTGCCAAACCTACAAGTGCTAGCTAAATCATGACATGAGGGTTAAGAGGTTATTGAATATAATATTGACTTTTAATTACTCGTAGTATATATTATTAGTAATTAGGTATGAATGGGAGACATGTGAGGTGTTAGTTAAATTGTGCAGTGTGTGAAAGAGTTGAATGATGTTCCTAGCTTTTTAAGAGTGAAGCGTGTTAGTTATGGGCGGGTAACCGACTAATCTGAGAAACCATAGCTTTAAAACGTTAAAATACAGAATTAACATAATAATTACAAAAAAATAATGTTTGGATCCAGCCGTACTTTATGTACTTGGGTTAGTTTTTGTTAGTCGGCCAATCTCTAATGTGGTGTAATTTACTATCAAATTGTATAAATTAAAAAGCATATGATAGGCTGTTTAGTTAAAAAAAAATTTATTTAACAATCATTAATTATACCACTATGAATAACTATGGCGTTTTTCTTACTATTCAACTACAATGAAAGGAAAAATTGTTCTATTGTATATAATGTGATCTAGTTTGTTCAGTCATCCTAATATAATGATATCATGTCATAATATAATATAATATAATACATGCCTTAATAGAAATTTTGAATGTGTAACCATTCAAAAGTGATCAAAATTCTAAAATTTGTAGCCACAAATAATTGTGACAATCACTTTTGGATGATGCAAAATCCCTTCTTGGTAATATTGACCGCCTAGTAAAGTGGTCAGAACTTTTGACATCTTTTTCTTTAGTTATAAAGTTTGGTTTCACATATAGGCATGACATAAATCTTAATATTCTAATCACTTTTTGCTCGACACCCCACACGGGATCGTTATGCTGTGCATTCGTATGTACCATGCATGGTGCATATGGATGGCAAAAACGACGTCATTTTATTAAAAACGCGCATCCCACTTTAAAAAAAAATATTCAGTTTCGATTCTCCTCAACAACATTATGTTGTTCATTCATTCTGAAATTTTAGTTCATAGATTCTGGAATTTTAGTTCATTGATTATGGATATTTAGACGTGAATTGAAACTGATTTTTTTCATTCATGCTGGATATTTAGTTCATTCATTATGGATTTTTAGTTCATTCATTCTGGAATTTTAGTTCATAGATCTGGAATTTTAGTTCATCGATTCTGGAATTTTAATTCATTGATTCGGGATATATAGTTCAAATTATGCACAATATAATGTTGTTGCTGAAAATCGAAACTGAACTTTTTTTTTAAGTGACACGCGCGTTTTTAATAAAACGACGTCGTTTTTGCATTCGTATGCACCATGCATGGTGGTGCATACGGATGCACAGTATAATTTACCCCCCTCAGGCGCGTACACATAAGTAATAAGATTATATTCAGCGTATGATCCTAATCTACTAATTAAGAAAACGTGTGGTGAGCCCAAATATCCCACTCAAACTGGCCCAAAAACAATTGAATGTGTAAATTAGGTAACAAGCCTTGAGCCCAAAGTCATTGTGCTACACTTTTTTTTTATCATCTCAAGGTATTAGGGTTTTTGGTCTGCAGTCCAGTTCATTCTGCAAATTGGGCACAAATTGTACACAATACCTTCTAGCCCATTTATAATGTAAATTGTCATTTCTTAAGTTATCTATTGGTACGGTATTAATAGTATAGAACACAAACATATAAACTATATCTAGTTATATCATGTACCATTGATATACTAGATAGCTCTCAATATAACTAGATGTATTATACATAGTTGTATTCGATATTTTTGACAGGAGAAAATTAAATAGTAAAACCTTAATGAGAAAGAAAAAAGATTGTCAAAATAAGGGGATCAGAATAAAAAGTAAAATGGATCACTTAGCTGGCTTAAATCTCATAATTTTGACAATCATTCTTGAGACTGGTTTTCTTCGGGTGGTGCAAGGTCTCAACTTAATCTTGGATGATCTATCTTTTCATTTAGTATTAGTTGATATTAAAAACTTAATGAGTATGTTTACTCATATTAATTTATCGTTTTCTAGGCGATTTACGAATCAGGCGACTTATTTATTAGCTAACCAGTCTGTTTCTATGTTGATTGCATGGAGTGGTTCTCAAACCCATCAAATATCATTTTTAATGTTCTCTTCTCAGATTTGAATTAATGTGATCATTCATTCAAAAAAAAAAAAAAGTAAAATGGAATACAAAGGAGAAATAAACATTTGCTGACAACATAAGCAACTGGAGAGGATTGAGGAAAGCACCTAACATAGTGATGCTGACGGAGGAGTGAGGCAATGCTTGAGTAAGATTAAAACTTTATGAAATGTAGTTTGAAAATGAAGGTTCATACATGGGCCAATGGGACTGAAGGCCCATCTTGTTGTATCACATCATTGGGCCCACTTACAATTGTGGTGCCCAATAAGAAGTAGCCATCATATCATGTTTTAGTTACCAAGCACTTGTCCACAACATAGTCCCCAACTCTTATATGCATGCGCGTGACGCCACGCCACTCAACTCCACTTACATGCTTCATTTAGCTTGTAAGAGCCAAGAGCCAAGAGCCAAGAGGGGAAAGGAACACCCAACACCCTAAAACAAACACCTAATTTAAAGTTGGATGTCTCCACTGAGGCTCGATCTCATGACCTCCTACATAGGAGAGGTCACTACATGTCATCTGAGACACAAGGTGCTTGGCAGGTAATATTATCTCCAATGATGTTAATATGAAGGGTTTGTGCAATAAGGGAGCAAGGGACAGTGGAATGAACGCGCGAGAGAGTTAGTTTGAGCGTGGAAAACACTATATATAGGGAACAACTCCTACCAAGGAAAGGCCGGCATGCTCATCCATCATTCATTCTCTCATATATATAAAGGAAGGTGGTGATCGAGTGGGCCTCTGGGACAGATCCGTATCTGAGAAAAGTAATAATAATAATAATTCTTTTCTTCTTCTTCTTCTTCATTTGGCTCCAAGGATTAGCTAGGTAGAGCATTGCAGCAAGATTGCTTAATTGTTATGGGCAGGCAACCTTGCTGTGATAAGTTGGGTGTGAAGAAAGGGCCGTGGACTGCTGAGGAAGATAGGAAGCTCATCTCTTTCATCCTCACCAATGGCCACTGCTGCTGGCGCGCCGTCCCTAAGCTCGCCGGCCTCCGCCGCTGCGGCAAGAGCTGCCGCCTCCGCTGGACTAACTACCTCCGCCCCGACTTGAAGCGCGGCCTTCTTACTCAAGAGGAAGAGAAGCTGGTCATTGATCTCCATGCACGCCTCGGCAACAGGTAGCTTCTTAATTAATAAACTCATCTTCATTATATATATATATATATATATATATACTATCTGGGTTTATCTTTGTGTTGGGCGACCGGCGACTCAGAGAGTCTTGTGTTTTTTGAGGATATATAGGTGGGCGAAAATTGCAGCAAGATTACCTGGGAGAACAGACAATGAGATCAAGAACCATTGGAACACTCATATAAAGAAGAAGCTTATAAAGATGGGAGTAGATCCACTGACACATGAGCCATTACAGAAAGATGATGATGAAGAAATGCTGCCACCATCTTCATTATCACTACATTCTGGTGATGATCAAAAGCTTAAACCTGCAGAGAATGATGATGATCTGGAAGAAGAGCTACCAAAAATGGAAGAACATCAACAGTGCTCTAGCAAGGAAGCCATGTTTGCAGCAGGTCCACAGGTGGAAGAAGCTGATTATGACCCATGGATGAGCCAGTTATTGTCAGACACATTTTTCAACGATCTGTCATGGAGTTTTGGAGGAGATGAATGCAGTGACTTTGCCATGTCATCATCTTCTCATGGAAGCTCATCAGAATGGCTCATGGATTTGCAAGATTTTGGTGAAGATCAAAGCTGGGCATTATTGCCTGGTAATCAGCCTCCCAAGAACATGGACATGGAGATTCACACACAGGATATAATATAAGCTGGAAGTTCTGATGATATATATGATGGACATGTGATCATCACGTGATATTAATGTATAAACAATTTTACCAGTCCTGCAAACTTGAAGAATAAGAATACAATATAAAGCGTGGTTTGAAGGGGCTTAAATTTCCCTTTTTTTTTTTTCTTTTTTCCTGAAAAGAATGTATTAAGGATGAAGCTTGCCCCGCTCCAAGGAGATTGAGAGGCTGAGAAACTGATAATATATATTCTGGGTATGAATTAAGAAATGTAGTTTGAAACAAAGCATATGTAAGAGTGGGATTCATATTCAGAGAACAAAATTTCACTTACAGCAATACCATTATATACAACACACCCATCACAAGTGTATATATGTTCCATTCTACTGCCATTTTGGCATCCCCTTCATCCTAAATCCTGTGATAGATTAAAAGGAATCACTGTAGAGTCAAAATTGTTTCATTCTGAAGCTGTAACGTAACTATGACTGTTTGAATCTGTGATAATTCCCTGACCTAAGGTTTTAGCTGTGCAGCACGTACTGCTCGTGTTCTTGACCGATCATTCTTGTGGAGAAAATATGATCCAAGAGAGACAGTTGTTGCTCGCCAGAAATGTAATTGCTGTACTTGATTTGTCATGGCATGGGTGGCTGCTGCTGCTTCATAGCTTCGGAAACTGATTCTTTGGCATTCTTTACTACCAAATCATAATTCATGGAAGCCAGCTGCGATAAATTCTGAGAATACAAGCAATGAAATTATATGATTAGAGTGTAAAAATGTGTATAAATTTGCCAGCAATTTGTATCTTTCAAAAAGTTTGGAAATTTCTGCAAAACTGATACGAATGTAGCATTATCTGATGTGCTTTTCTTGCTTTACAGCAGCAAAAGCCCAGGCTAGCATGCATATCCTACCTTGAATGAAAAGTTACTGAATGAATATTGCACTTGTAGGGTTGGATTGCCAAACTGTGTCAAGTTGCCACATTCATCGCCCTGTATCAATGGAATAAATAGAATTATGGATCATGACAAAACATATATACAAAAAGCATTTAATAGTCAATGCAGCAACTGGGTTTTACGTAGTTCCTTATGAGTGCATGATTGTGTTTGAGCATATTCTAGAAGGGAGTTAAGAATTAGGCAGATATTAGCATGATGGTGGTAGTGGCAAGAGTTCTTTGACCGTGGAAGATGTTATTAACAGAATGAACCATTAAGGTGTTATTAGACCACCCAACCCACTAGTTATCATCAATGATTATGATGTTTGGATCCAAATGTTGGTTTGATACCGAATCAAAATTAAACGATCAATAAGGCATGTACCTCTTCGTCCTGTACGTTGCTGCACGTACTGCTGCTGCATGAGGCACTGCCTGCATCACTCATGCCATCAAAATCACTACCTCCGCAGACATCTTCATCTTCTGGATTCCAAATGTAACGACTCATAAAATAACTAGTATCATGCGATTCAGCAGCTGGTATGAATGTAGCCTGTGGGCAACGAGAGAAGTACAAGTCTATTTTTGTTACCAGGAACTTTTTAGAATCCTTTATGGAGAGAGAGAGAGAGAGAGAGAGAGACCTTTTGCCTTGCTAGTGTATCCCAGTTGATATCCTTAAAAAAAGGATGCCGTTTTACCTAGTAATGAGAAACGCTATAGATATTGAAGTTGCTATCACATATTTTATGTTATTATTTACTAAATTAAACATTTGGAGGGAAAGTTATTACCTCTCCAGCCCCCGTCGCACCTAATCTTTGAACAGGGCTTTCGATCAACAACCTAAAGCAAAGATACATATAAAACAGTGTACGATGAGCAGTAGCACTTCCCTGTTACCAGCAAAGAAAATGCAATTAAATCTTACTTGTTAATCAAATCATATGCTTCAGAGCTTATTTCATCTGGTACCTTCGGCCAAGGTATGTCTCTATTCATGATATTGTTGAAAATTTGCTGCACAAAATACAAATATATCCTATATTAGTTTTGAGCCACGACAACACTTTGGACACATGCATTAATGCCACATGCGATTTCTGAAATGACTAACATGTTCAGATTAAAGGAAACATAACTGTGCTTCATATTACTTTTGGCATGGCAGAATTTGATTGAGCATCCATAGAACATTTTTGAAATACAATTATGATTTGGCTCTGCTATTATGCAGTTCATTGTGATAAAGAATCAAATCAAAAGAAGCACAAGCATGTGTACATATACTCGTAAAGATATTGGCCAAAGAACAAGCTGTAACTTCTCTCAACCCTCTTGGTTTCACTAAAGAGTAAGATGGCATACCTGAGGGTGTTCTGCATTGAAAGGTGGAATACCAACAAGGATCTCAAAAATAATAACACCTATAGACCACCAGTCAGCAGTTGCACCTACAAGAACAATAAATAAGATGAAATTTCAGCAACACTTGAACTAAAACCTTATTTATTCTGTGTATGAAATAGGATTCATACCGTGCCCAACACCGAGGAGTATCTCTGGTGCCAAGTAATCAGGGGTTCCAACAACTGAATCCTTCTGCTGCTTTTCTCTTTTAAACGATGATTGCACTTTTAGTTTACCATTCCCAAGCAAAGCAGAACCTGATGAACCTGACAAGTCATCAGTGCTGTTGATAAGACCAACCTTGGAGAGCCCAAAATCTGTCAACTGTGATGGGAAGGATTAGATTTATGAGCGGACAAGAAAAGCAGCCCATAACAGTAGAAGCTCATAAATTTTGTTCGAGGAAGACAACTACTCCGTATATGTTTACATCATGTTTCAACAGAAATTAGAAAAAAAAAAACAAAAACAAAACCACTTTAAGCCTGGAAATATTTCTCTGCTATAAATCCTCCCATGGTCACCTAGCATATGTAAGCAACCATGATAGTAAATTTGAGAGGAGAAATACACATGATCAGTGTTAGAGAAAGCTAAGAGGGAGTTAGAGAGTGTTTCTCCTAGACTTGGGTTTTAATTTTTGAATCTTGTGGCTGTTTTCTAGCTTGTGTGTATAAATAGGACCTTGTACAGCTTCATTATACAGACAGAAATACAAAAGTTCATCTGTTTTACAATCAAAGAAAGCTTTCAGCTCCATCGGAACATGATCTATTACCTTGACAGTTACCCTAGTTAAAAGATACTCTACTCTAACGAGAAATAGGTTCACTCAATTCCTAACAAAGATAAAGCTACTATGCCTTACTCTAGAAATGTGACTATTACATGCACACACAATGTACTTCAAAATCCAGATATAAGAAAGATATCTCTGGCCTAGGTGAAGTTTCACCACTCCAAGGCTGGCTTTGAAACCATTTACTATTTAGCAAAGTATAATTATTATTATTATTTTTTTCATAGAAGTAGAAACTTCATTTCCATACTTACATGTATTGCATCTTTTGTTTTTTCAATGTCTTATTGCATAAAAAGGAAGGATGGTGATAAAAATGACAAGAACTATTTATGATGATGATAGAAAGGACCACATAGAGGCATAGAGCTGTTTAGTAATAAGAGTATTGACCTTGATGTGACCATCCGGGCCTATCAATAGATTGTCCGGTTTCAAATCCCTGTGAATAATATTTAAGGAATGGAGATACTCCAAAGCAAGAACCTGAAAGGAGTAAATTAAAGTGCATCTATTACTCTTTGTGACATTGAAAATTTTGCTGGCACATCTTGGTTTGTTAAAAGAGAACCAATGTGTACTTACAATTTCAGCAATATAAACACGAGCCATGTCTTCATCTAAGCAGCCAAGATTTCTCAGCAAAGAGAAAAGATCTCCTCCATTCAAGTACTCCATGACAAGATAAAGATTGTCCCTACATGTGAAGGAGTAGAAAAATCGGACCTGTTCGCCCACAGATTTTAAAGTTGTAAATTGTTTAGAAAAATATGTGTAGTTGTACAAGAGAAGTGTAAAATAAATGAGTAATAAATTTTAAGATATGCTAACCACAAATGGATTGCGAACTGAAATTAAGATATCACGCTCAGCCAAGATACTTTCCACAGCATTTTTGCGTATCAAGTCAGATTTTTTCAAAACCTGCAAGAATTTTAAGTAGCAAGCCCAAATTCAATAATAATAGATGCTGTGAAGCATGAATGCAAGGCTATAATATACACATTGCATATTTTTGGTCATCAAATATCTTTGACTGGAAAGATCCCGTTTTATTTCAACACGATTCCATGAGAACATCAAAACATGTTTAGGTTTCTCAAAATCATATAGTCTTCACCTTTATTGCAAACAAATCACCAGTAGCTCTTTTCTTTGCCAAGAAGACTCGCCCAAAAGCACCCCTACTGATTGGTTTTATTATCTCAAAATCTTCAATAGATGTCCGATCCTTAGAGCATAGGTTAATAGGACTCGCACGCACACTGCGTATTGTATCATCATCTGCTGAGCTTTCCTCATCAGCAGTGCTATTTGAAGCAACCACTCTGTCATCATCAATCTGTCCACAGAGGAGGACATATTTCTCTCTGTAGAGTATTTAAGTAAATACAGTCAGTGGTCCCAAAAATACTAGGGAAGTGGAGACAGATTTACATGCAACTAGCATTATCAGGCAGTTTGAAACCATGAGAAATCTTTTATGCAGACCATGATGTCATTTTGTAAGAAAACTCAGAAAATGAATTGAACTCACTGCAATAGTTTTTCGATGCGTCTCCCAAATGTCTCGACAACAAGAGCATCAACCTTCCTGTCTTGAATGACATACTTCAGGTCGTCCAGACGGTCAAGCAAATATTCTAATGTACTGTAGTCATTGTTGTTCACATTGGCAACCGATCGAGCAATATCCAGTAGCTTACTTATCTGTCAGGCCACTAAATATTGTAGTTAACACATTTAAGAATTGAAAAAAAAAAAAAAAAAAAAATTAAAGAATAAAAAAATGCAAGGATAAATAATACTTCATAGTACCAACATATTGGGTAAACAGAGATGCAGCAGAATATCAAAGCAGAAAAATAATTCCCTGCCAACAATCTTCCGAAGAGGATAAATTCCTCCAACAGGTAATATGTTGTCCTGTAGCTAAGCTTAACAGCATAGCAAGAATCTAAGATCTTCAAGAAAGTACAAGAATGGAGGGGGAAAAGTTGACAATTGCAAAAACTTTTATCTTTAGGTTAGCACTAACAGACTAATGGCATTTGGGAGAATGATGTATCACATAATATGAGAAGAAAAAACCAAAAAATTGCTTGTCTTTTCCGAAAATTAAATAAACCAAAACCTGTAAGAGCCACATATCAAAAGCAAAAGCAGTAACTAAATGATAATTGAATGATATGTTCGGTTGCTTTCAATATATATATATATATATATATATATATATATATATATATATATATATATATATATATATATATATATATATATATATATATAATTCCAGACTGAAAGGGGGATGAAAGAAAGGAGTGCTATAAGAGAACAATGCCTGCTGCAAACAATCATAACATCCAAACAAAAGAGTTCTCCTTAGACAAGAAGGATCTCAGAGACTCAGACAAAATTAAAAGAAGTTCAAAACAGACAGATGAAAATTAGCAGTTAACTCCCACAAGAAGTATCCATCCAATGAAACCAAAATTAGAACAGAATGGTTGGTTTTCATTAACAATTAAACATATTTATTGTAGGGAAGACATCAAAGAGAGAACAAGATTCAAAATCTTCAATATGTGAAATACCTGCTGACAACTTTCATGTTCAGATATTGTTCCGCATCCACTCAACAGCAGCTCAATGGGGGTTTTCTGAGGAGTCAGCAGTGGTGACCGTGGTGTCAAGCTCCCAGCTGATAAGGCCTTCCTAGACACGCCAGACAAACTGTTGAGATTATCAATCCCAGTAGCATCAGACTCTAGAGCATAACCTACTATGTCTCGAGAGCATTGCCATGGCAACCCATTCTGCTTTGTAGACGAGACATCCAATTCTTCAGCAATGCTCATAGCAGAGACTCTTGCTACCTCATGACTCACCATCCCACTGTCAACAGTTTTTGGTGTCCATGATTCAAGCATCTTTTCAAGAATTTCTGCAACTCTTTCAAGTCGTTCATTTACAGTCAAACCTTTTAAGTCGCACCTATCAGCTATAGTGCAAATTCTTGAATGTTGTTCTACATAAATGATTGGAATTTCAACTTCGCATATACGGCAGATAAATGAATCCTCATAAGATATATTATGCTGAGCACAATCTCCCCAGCTTAACCTCCTTACTTTAGGGGGATCCTCTGGATGCTCAGGGTGGCGAAGTGGAGTATCCTGATTCAAAGTGCTGTCTGTTTCTTCTTTATGTAGCAAGGAATCAGACTTATCAACAGGTGGTGCATCAACAGAGTCCTGGACTTTCTGATATCTTTCAGGTGCAGTAGGAAGCTTCTTCCAAGAGGACATTCTAAAGCTTCCTGTAGATGCAGCAGCACTCTTTGCAGTGCTAACCTCTGTGGTCTCTTCACCAAAGTTCTCATTTGTTTCATTTTGCCTACCTGTCAAACTGCTATAGCCTGGTCCCTGGGCTTTTTTGTTCCTTCTCCCACTCGATTCTTTCCGCCCAAACGGGTGACTTGAATCTTCAATAACAGGGGAAAGCACTTGTTCTGGATAGATGCCTAGGTCACCAAGCTGATGGGAAGACAGAACATGATCTTCAAAACCACTCTCCTTTTGGAACCGTACAAGCCTAGTACAACGAGTAAGTATGAATAAGAGGCGGGTGTGGGCTTGTTTGACGGTACCCATTGGTAACTCTTGTCTGCGATCGTCTAGATTCTGAACAATACCTTCACAACACAACCAGAAGTCACTAGGTGACATCTTTGCACACTGCCTAGCTACAACCAACAAATCTTCCAAACTCTCCCTCCAATAAGGATGGGGTGGTTCTGAGGTCTTCTCAAGCATTCCAACTAGATCTCCAGCAAAGATTCCCAAATCAGAGTTAACCTCTTCCTTTAATTTATCAAATTTTGACCGAATCATTACCATAACCTCCTAAAGAATTGCAGGTACGAAAATAATAAGTTACTCAAAAGATTCAAATCATTAATTTCTGGGAAACAGTGGTAACTAATGGCAGGCAGCAAATTGTTTTCATTCTATAATAACATAAATGAGATCATTAAAAAAGCAACTCATACTTCCATTCTCCCAACTGCACGAGATTTCCAAAATGGAAGAGGTCGGACTCCTTTGGAATCGAGCTCATGAGAGAAGCTCTTGATGTCTGGCACTCTCCTTCTGCGACCACTAGTCACACGCAGTATAGCTTGAAACCGTGGAGATTGAATTTCCTTGGCAAAAGCTTCATGGTAACCCTACAATAAGCACATCAGCATACATGACATTAAGCTGAATAACCTAACCCTTTCAACTAACTTGAATATATGGCAGAATAAAAGAGTCATATAAACCATGCTGTGTAATCAGCAACTACCTCTGAATCCAAACGCCGAGGTGACATCACTCTCAATGATTTAGTCTGACTCCAGTGGACCTTTTTACCTGACATAAAATAACACAACATTTATTCCCTTGTGTTTAGGAAACACAAATAAAGATACTAAATTTATTCATTAGCTCATCCAGAGACAATGCAATTGCATACAATCTATAAAATATTGAGTAATGTAGCTAATCAACATTTCAAAGAATTTTATTTTATTTTATTATTATTATTATTTTTTTTTTTTTGGTGAGAGAGAGAGAGAGAATAGATTGAAATACACACACACGTACCACGTCCCACGAAAAGTTCAGCAGATTGATCAGCATTGGATGAAGACCTAGGGCGCGATTTGGCTCCACCTCTTCCCTTACTGCCGCCTCCAAAATCCGAAGGGATACGAATAGTTTTTGAAATTGTGAGCGGGGACGGAGCTGAGCGAGTCCTAATGCGATTGAGGCCAAGAGACGATGGCTCAACCATGGACGAATCGTCACTTTCACAGCCTTCCTCTTCATCATAACCATCATCATCATCGTCGTCGCCGTCGTCGGCAACATCATTGGCATCATCTTCCTCGTCGTCTTCAGCCACGGGTCGGCTAATCGGACCAATCTTCCGTAGATGCTTCACGACGGGAGGCTTGGCCGCCGAGTCTCTGTGGTCAGCGGACAGTGGCGCATTGTGGACGGCGGCGTTTGAATTCGAGGTTCTTTCTGATTCTGCATTGGCATCAGACGACATTGCAGTGATGATTATAGCTGCATATAGATATCAGGATCTGGCTCATTCTCCCATGGAAATTGTATTTCGGAGAAGATAGCTATGGCGGATCAAGAGCTGGAGGTTAAGGAAAGTTGAGGAATAGTACCTAATTCCGGACATGGATGCCAGTATTTTCACAGAGATCAGATTTTCGCGGGAAGGAGGCAGCGTACACGGCGACACGAATACACCTTCAAAATCACGTACGTTAATTCATTTTTTTTTTTTCAACGTGCGCTCGCACTACCTATCTTAAATATGACGTCACATGATATATAGAATTTGTTTGGTAACATTAGTTAATTCATTTATTTTTATTAGTCAATTTTGCCTTATTCACTATTAATTACTCCGGTATTTCACTTAGTTAAATAATCAATATGAGTATTTAATTAATTAACTTTTTTAATAATTTATTACTTTAAAATGCTAAAACTCAAAAAAAATTCTTTGAACACATTTTCGAAAAAATCATTTTGCATTTAATCAACTATTAGCTAAGAGCTAATTTATCAAACACTTTTCTACAATCAGCTAATGTTATTAACTAGTCAAATCCACTAACCCAAACAGGGTACCCGCTATTTACCAAACACTCTCATATTAATTTTCTATTTCCCGAATAATTATACCTAGTTCGTGTTGGCAAATTATGTCGTGCAACCGTGTGCACCATGCATGGTCACATGGTTGCAAAACGGTGTCATTTTGATTAAAAACGACGCCGTCCGACTTTAAAAAAAAAAAATCATTTTCAATTATTGTTAGCGGCGTTATGTTGTGCATAATTTGAATTATATATCTAGAATTAATGAACTATATATCCATACCAGTTACTGGTACTCTGTTTTGGCTTACGACAATTCGCTGCGTCTGTGTATTCAGAATGAATGAACTATATATTCAGAATTAATGAACTATAAATTCAAAATTAGTGAACTATATATCCAGAATGAATGAACTATATATCTAGAATTAGTGAACTATATATCCAGAATTAATGAACTATAAATCCAAAATTAATGAACTATGAATCCAGAATTAATGAACTATATATCCACACCGGTTACTGGTACTCTGTTTTGGCTAACGACAGTTCGCTGTAACTGTGTATTCAGAATGAATGACGTATAAATTCAGAATTAGTGAACTATATATCTATAAAATGCATTATACCTGAAGAAGAAGTAGACCTCAATTGACAATGGTGAGAAAAAAAATTGATTGATGGAATTAAACGGTACCACTAACAACACCATTACTCCACCATAGTGAAACAGCGTCGTTCGCAACCGTATGCACCATGCATGGTGCACATGGTTGTAGCACAGCATAACGATTGGTTCGTTTGGGCCGTCAGGGAACAAAAAACCATCATAAGCAAAATAAAACAAATAGTATTACAACAAGAAAATGCATGGTTGTCTGGAAACCTTGATAATTGCAGTGCATCCAGCCATCCAGTGTATATATGCTTCCTAGTTGCTGACTATACAGTCTACCAGTCTATAGTTGAAGTGAAAAGCAAACACTAAACTGAAAATTACATCACTTCTCTAATAGATTTATATTCTGGTGGCTGACTGTAAGAGCTTCACCCTCAACAGTTGCTACCCATTCCAGGAGGATGGAGTTTACTTCTTCCGGTTTCTCATCTTGCGGGCAATGACCTGAGAATCGCTCACAGAGAGAACAAAGAATAAGAAAGCGATCACATATTGGAGTGATTGAGAATGAAAATTCAACCGATATATATCAAATACCAGCGTCTAGTTCCCGGGTTAGAATTCCTTTGCAGTGTTCGCGAAGCATGGCAAGCCTGGAGGAGTTGTCAGAGACTAGTGGATCTTTCATTCCCTGGGAAGGGAAGATTCAATGCAAAATGTATATACATGCACAAGTAGATGAAGTTAATGGATGGTTCTCTGTCAGACCAGTAATGTGGACACTGAACAAATTACCTGTATTACTAGACTTCTTCCCTCAAATCCTTGCAGAAGATAGTTAAGAGGAACTGAGAGATCAAAGCTGAAAATGCTTTCCAGGACTGCCATCACACCGGGGTCATACGACTAAATTTCAGTCAAGTGCAGACACACAAGTTTAGTAGTAAAACTCATTTTTATCAATTGGGGGCCAAAAGAGAGATTCAAACAGTCAGTAAATTACGGTCAGAAGGGAATGATCACAAGAGATTTAGACTAGTAGACTAGACAAGGATACTGCTCTCAGCATCTCAGAAATAAGCCATTCATCCACGCGATCACGTCTCTGCAGAACACAGATTTTAAGTGAAGAATACATAAAGCATGCAACAAATGAAGCAGTAACAAATATCTCGGGTCCCCTTACTGTTGGATAGTAATCTCTAACTATGTTCCGGAGGCTAAATCTTAAGAAGAGTGAAAGGAATCTAGCACCAAGCCAAGCTGCTCCAGATTTTTGCCTAACCTGACAGATATATTAACTCATTTTGCTTCATTTAACTTCAGGAGAAACATAAAACAATTAAAGAAAGTAAGAGTATATATAACAATTGCTGATACTAAAACCATGGTGCTATTAACCAGAAATCCAGCATTTTAAATAAGTAAATGCTGATTTGTGCATGAGAAAATGGGAGGGGGGAAAAACAATAGCCTTAGTAGGATCTATGCCGTTGAGATAATACCCAAAAAAAGCACCAAAACCATGCTATCTTACTTTAGAATATCTCGAAGCTGTATAGTCAGGAACAACATTGCCAGCACTGTTCACAAGGACCACAGACTTCACTAGAGCAGGCCAAATACCAGTAACAATAGCAGCCAAGTAGCCTAGAAAATGGAAGACATACAAGCAGTTAAAAGTTAAAACTATCGAGTCATTCAAAAATAGTTCAAAATATTGCAAGAACACATCATTGTGGCACAACAGTATAATACATAGATAAAAGGTTATGTGTTTTGCTCTGTATTTGGAGCATGAAGCACTGAAAGCATACCACCAAGTGAGTTCCCAACAAGATGTACCGGTTCTCTGACAACATCAACTATGAAATCTTTGATCAGCTCAGCCAACATCACTTCACTGTACACAACATTTGGTTTATCTGATTTTCCAAACCCCAAAAGTGTCAATGCCCACACTTGGTTCCCACTTTTGGCTATAGGATTTATGTTGTCACGGTAATGCCCAAAAAAAGCACCAAAACCATGAACAAGCATAATTGCAGGGCCTCGATCACCAGCAACTGTATACTGCAGAATTGCAATAAATAGTGGATCACACAATCCCACCACTCCCAACCTCCATATTTTAGGCAAAAGAAAGGAGCAACATACAATATTGGGAAGGCACTAGCAAAAAAACAAAAATAGAAACAACTTACATGTATCAGATGGCCATTCCATCTCCATATCCTAACAGAGAGATTTCCTTGGCCTGTTGCTTGACTTTTTAAAGCCAAAAGCCAATACCACTACCACAAGAAAATGTAGTAATGAGGAAAGAAATCAAACAATACAAGAAACCTCCTTTATAAAGTCATCAAAACCAAATTATAAGAAGACAAGTACCTCCATTGAACAGACTGTATCAATCGCTGCAGCAACAGTTATTGCTGAATATCCAAAAGGAGATATAAATCCACCGTTTCTTTCTTTCTCATATTTGATAGCTTCATAATATACTCTTCTTCTAGATACAATCCCAAGAAGCAGTGCATACCCAAAAAGGGTACCAAATGATGCTCCTTCCCGTGTCTCAGCGTCACGAAGTTTTCCATGTACCCTGTAATACAAATCAAATGAGCTCCCTTTACATTACTGACCTGAAGTGATTAAAGAAGCAAAGAGTTAACATCACCAAATTGGTAAAAAGGTTAATACCCAGGATATTGGACCATCCAATTGACCAATTTCATTGACTATTCAAACAAGAGACCAGTTTCCTTTTTCTAGATTCTTTTTTGTGATATATGCCAAACCAATAATTTTTACTAACTGGACAATCTAATGGACTATTTCTTGAGCCCATGCTCTTATAAAGAAATGCAACCGTGACCTAAGCTAAATGAAATAAGATGACACAATCAAATGAGGAAAATATTCTTCAGAGCAAGAGGGATATAATCTAAAGGGGCCAAACTAAGCTCACATTTAGAATGGATAAACCAATTCAAATATGAAAAAGCTAGTCAAAGATATATATGTCATAAGTGAGACAATGAATCAAATTTGAAGTAGGAGGAAAACAATACTCTAAAACACTTCGGTATCATAGCTAACACATACTCCTGCCATTCATCACGAGCAGTGCCCTCTAGATATCGGAGATATGCAGCAAGAGCATTTAACACAGTATGTGTACCACCAGCCACTATGTTTCCCTGCTCAGTTACAAATGCTGATTTTTCTACTCTATTCCTTGGGGCACTAACATCATTTGAAACCATTTGATTGCCTTCACTTGATTTTGTCTTCCGCAAACCTTCAATAATAGAACTTAGAGATCGATCTCTCTGCCGCCAATTCCAAGCTGAAAACTTGAAAGCCCATTTAACTTTTGATGTGTCAGCATTGCTGCCAACAAAATTCTTTAAATCATCCAACGTGGGCAAGGCACCTATTCCACAAGGTCAATATAAAACTTCCATGACCCATTCATGCAAATAATTCATAAACTTAAATTATTCTGTAGGGTGAACAAATAAAACAGTATTTGTGAAAAGCTTACCCCACGACAAATCCATTGGCACTTTAGGTAATTTGGGAGAAGACTGGGGTGATGTAATGGGCATTTTCTTTTTCATGAATTCATCATATGATGCTGGCAAATCATTCATGTTCTACATAGAAGAAATAAACATTAGGAAATTGCATTGAGGGCTCCAATACAGATCAGTATAGATAAAGGTTTTAATAGCAAATAGCAATACCCCAATATCATAAAATGGAGTATTCCATACAACGACTCTAGCTCTCCTCTCTGCAAAAGATATTCTGGCCAAGGTTTCTTTCACACCATTCACCACTTCGCATAGAACATATTCTACCTCCTCCTCAGCAAATACACTGGAAGCATCAACCTGTTCCAATCCTAGGTGATGAAAGTAACAATATGAGCGGATAACTGCTTCAAGTTCTCCTCTTTCTTGGACAACTAAATATCAGAATAAGTAAACATAATTTCATACAACCTCTTTGACAACTTCTTCTATAACACTCTCTGAACTCCCAAACCTGATCATAAGATTAGAGCCTTGCTCCATCAGTGAACTCTTCAAATCTCCCAGGGCGGAAAGAAGCAATTCAAATGTTTCATCAGTAAACCCTGCAACAGTGATAGCAATAGTGAATATGTCCAAGTTAAACAACATAAGAAGTGGCCAGGTAACTTGTCACTTGCAAAAAAGAGAGCACGGGAGGTGATACTTTGCAATATTCTTAATTAAAGCATAATGGATTACTAAACATGACACTAAAAATAGAATATTGGTCCAATAAATGTTGCATGGCTAGCTATGATATGTACATGATTAATTTATAACTTTGAGAAAACATTATAGATTACAGGAATTCATTCAAGAACACCTATTTTACAAATATATTTCATGCAAGAAAAGTTTTGAAGTTTTAAAATATAAAAGTACATGAAAAGACTCTGGCGCTGAAGCAAACAAAGAATAGTTTGATCATGAAACAAAGTTCTTTAACTTTTGGAAAGTATTACCGATTCACTCAAATATTCGAGAACTAATTAGAATACTAAATTCATAGACTGATTAACACAAACACCTTGACAGGGAATAAATAAATATCACATACTACTCAGTATATACTTTACCAACGAATGTCACGTTGATTTAAATCAAAATTTACTTCCTGTTGTCCCCAAAGTTCATGTCTTTACCAGAAAATTTTTGCATTATAAATAATAGCTCAAAATAATACACATAAAAAAATGCCTATAACTTGACTACTTGAGTGAACTAAGTAGAGACTTCATACGCGAAAGAATGCGGTGATCGAAAACGTAAAGAGGCACGAGCGTCTGATTCTGGGAAGCGGAGAGGAGACCAGGATGATCGTCGATTCGAAGGTCATGCTTGTACCACAGAATCGCAGAGCCGTCGTCCGCCGCCGCCGCCGCACTAGACTCCGTCCTCCTCCCAACGCTCATCCTCACCGACATTGGGGAGCACCAGCGGCGAGTTCGAAGCTCAGCAGTGAGAAGTGCGGTTCTCGGCGAGAATGAAAGAGAGAGAGAGCGCGGGAAAGCGAGAAGCGCCATGGCAGAAGAGCAGTAGAGTTGGAAGAAGGTTTGGGATTATAGTGAAGCTCGAAATCCATTAACTATTGGATTTAAATACGGAGAAGTTTACGTGGCCATCGGTCGGAAGCATCTCAGCGGAGATTGTGGCGGAGAACGGCAGCTGAGATCTCCAGATTGTGGCGGAGAACGGCTTTCTTTATTTACTGTAAACCACCCGGAAACTTTTCAAAGTTTCAACTTTGTACCCGACATTATAGCCAATATATTTCCTTGCCCATTACTTGAATTGGTTTATGATAGTTAATATAACAATTAAAAATAGTGAATATCATTTTCATCTACCAAAAGTTAAATAATAAAATAGAAGCCTCGAAAGTGGTGGATAAGTGGATAGAGCATAATTATCATATCTGAATATTATAAGTTTGATTTTCACAACATTTTCTTAGTCGAATCCGTCACACAGAATTTTTCTAATGAAATTTTCACTCATGTGCGATTTGTAAACTATTACATAATAACGGAGTTTATATAGTATACAGTATCATTTATTGACGGCAAGTTTCTCACATAATCCAAAATAATAAAATAAAATAAAAATGTATTCATTAGTCTTACTCTTTCTTACAAGAAAGAGATAAAAGAAACTTGAAAGAAAAAGAGATGTTATAAATGATGGTTGGTAAGATATGACAAGTTGGTCTTGGTTGTACTAATTTTTATTAGTTTGGGTTTCATTAATGATTTTTAAATGTAAATTTTAGCACTAATAATAGCATTTTTAAATGATTGTGGTGATCGATGTTGTAAATTGGATGTTGATGAGACAAAAAGTGGAAGAGTGATTTAGAAGGTGTGTGGGTGTCCACTTTCACATTCAAATTTGGTACTTTTAATGTTAAAAGAATGAAGCTTTGAGTCAAATCCGTTTAATTTGGAAAAAAAACGTTAACTTATGTTATAATAGAGTGTAATTTTGATGTGGTGATTAAATGAGTAATGAGAGATTTTTTGTGTTTGGTTATATACTTGTTGACCTAGTTAAAGTTTGTAAATGTAAAGTTTGTGATCGATAAATTTTAAAAGTAAATTTTATGGGTACTCTTGAGTCTTATTTATTTCTTACGTTCTACTTGTATTTAGTTACTTATTGACGTTATAAAAAAAAAAAAAGAAAATTGTCTTTAATTTAGGGAACAAACTAACATTTTGGGGTGAAAAAAATAAAATCTCGACGGTTGAGAGAAGTCCAACTGACTAAACTGAAAATGGCGCTAACTCTCCATTTATGATTTATCGTCTTCTCTCTTTTGTTACCATGAAACTTGAAGATCATCTCCTTCATCACAGAGCTAGACCTATAAATCTCTGCGCCAAATCACACGACTCATCTTCATCGCAACCCACAGAAACGCGCAGCCGCCTCATCCACGGTGGCCCCGCCGCGGAAGAAGCCCGGCTTAGGTTTCGGCTCCTCAAATTCCACGAAACCAAATCATAGCCCGAGAAGAAGAATGCAGAAGGGCAATAGAGAGAGAGGGCCTCTGTTATTCTTGCTTGGTTAGGCCTTGGCGCAATCATTCTTGTCGAGGGTATTGTTGTTGCTGCTTCAGGTGAATTAATCGCTGAAATCAACACTTAAAGTTCTGATTTTTATTTGAATTGTTGGAGTTATGTTAGATTTTGTTACAATGTCTTTCATTTAAGTGCAAAAATGAATTAGCTAACCAATCCGCAGATAGTCTAGATCTCACAACATTTTTCTCTTGCCAAATCGAGGGTACGCAATAAACTCTGTTTTGTGGCCTTAGCTGTCAAATGATCAAGGGAAACCAATTTAGATTGTCCGATCCATAACTAAAGGTCAATAAGTCACTCCTGCTGAGAGTTGAAATTGTAATTTGTGATTACCAAACAGTCCGACCAACTTGGCTTTTCGATCGAGTAGCCTAAACTATGTGCAGAATGAGAAATTTATGAAGAGTGAAGACTGATTCATCATCTATCTTCAGTTATAAAACTAGCTTTCCTGCATTAAATGTGGTCGCTCCAACCAGTTTGTCCATGCATTTTGCCATGAATTGCCCCCCAACTGGAAGTGCAAAAAGTGAATTTATCTTTTTCCTCAATATAGATTATGAACCTTAAATGATTAATGAAGTTAGAAGTTGTTGTAAAGTAGCATTCTAGTCTAGGGAAGCTGAATCTACATGTCTCCATCTATATGGATCTTCTTTGAATGTATCATCATCCAGAACTCATCTGCCATCCTGATTTAATTTAATGCTAACCTTAACCACTTCATACTAATATCTGTATTCTGCTAGTCATTTGGTTCTTGAAAAACTCTTTTGCAGTATGTACTTGTTTGCTTCTTTTGAATGGATGCCAACATTTTGAAGCTTGTGGCATGCATTTAAGATGCACATCTTACTTGTTTTTGCGTGCTCTTAAGGCAATATATATTTATATATATGTTCCCTTCGACACACAACTGACTGGTTGACCAATCTAAAGAGAGTTATAGTTCTGTTTCGCTGTCAGCTATAGGAAAACTCGTAATATAAGCCGTTGAGACACATTTTCTTGATTTAATTTGCCCCTTCCAACCAATCTAAAGATCAGAGAGTTAATAGTTCTGTTTCGCTGTCAGTTATAGGAAAACCCGTAATATAAGCCATTGAGACACATTTTTGTTGATTTAATTTGCCCCTTTCACCAAGACTCTAGGATAGGGATGGTAAGGAGTGTTGGTTCGGGATTGGGGTACGATCCTTTTTTTTTTTTTTCTGTATGCGATAAGGTTCCTTAATGAGTCAACAAATTCAGTTGTGCTCATTGGAATTGAAGGGTGGCAGCAGTGTGTACTTAAATGCCATGTTCAATGGATTTTAATTCCATTTACTTTGACACGGCAACCATGAGTGCACTGCTAGCTAGTGATTTATTGCTGTCACTATTTCATCAGAATTTTTATGGTGCACTACATATCCATTACAGATAGACTACAGACCATCAATTCTTGATCAAACTGTACTGTTTTTAAATCAATGCTTTTCTGGAAAAGTTTTCTTGATATGAACTGTGATCTAATAAGTATATATATATACTGTATTTGATTGTAATGGGTACGGTAAGAATTGATGTCAATAGTTGTTGATATACATACCAAGAATCTTGTATCCTTGAGAGGTCCCCCACTAGGGCTGTAACTGTTATCGTCTTTTGCCTCTCACTATCCTTGTACAGCCAAACAACCGGAATCAATTCCAGAAACATGTCTCCATTGTTCCACTTGTGGGGATATTCATGTGCACTCCGATCCATAAACTAAGCAATTCCTTCTGATCTTCTCCGATCCATAGTCATTTAAGGTTAACATCTGATCTGGGTTTAAGGTTGCATGATATATGCAACCTGCAAAAGATGCTAAATTGTCACATGGCATGATCTTTAGCTGTCACCCAAGCTTTGCTTCAGCAGTACAGTAAAGATTTTGCACAATCAACACTGCTTTCTTTAATTTGCTTCAAATTTCATCATTTCTAGAAGCACTAAGCAGAAATCTGTGTTCTGGGTTTCACTTTCATGATACTGTAAAAGGCATTCCAATCAAGGCATCATTAGGGGATCCACTTTACAAAAGGAAAGTGTTGGGTAAAAGATAAGTTCTTGGCTGACCCACACTGCATCAAAGCAAATTTGTCAGTAAATAATGTAGTTTGTATAGTAGTTTTCATGTGCATATATTAGTTACAATACAATGTCAAAGAATATCGGGGTTATCCTCGTCCCAGACTGGTTCCGATAATAGTGGATTAGGTGATTTTTTTTTAAAGTTGTCCCTTTTCTTTGATTCAAAAAAAAAAAAAAAAAAAAAAAAGTATATAAACATAAGACAAAGATTGTTAGTATTATTTAGTCTTTTTAGACCACGATTATAGTAAGTGAACAACTAACAACAATTTAAAATAATTAAGCATAACATCTGCTTTCTATAATAATTAAGGACTAAAGCAATCTAATTGCTGACAATTAAAAGATAAAACTTACCCTTTTCTCGACTTTTAATGTATGAATGTTATGACAAAGGACAAGACAATTGAATATGCAAATCTTGTAACAGAAGCTAATCCTAGATAACCTGTACTAATGTATGAACAAAAACTCAATACCCAACTTTATTTTTTGGTGACATGCGAGACTTCCAAAAAAAGAATAAACTTTATTAAATACTACAATGTTTTTTTGAATGAAGATGGTATACCATGAACCAAAATGAAGTTGATACAAAAATTTTTGAATTAAATATTATATTGTTTTTTTTTTCAAAAAGAATATTATATGGTTTTTGTTCTTTGTAGAAGGGTAAAAAAGAAAAAGAAAAGAGAGGATTGTATAATTGATGGCACGAAACTCAAGGCGACATGGCACAAAGCCATAATAAAGCAAAAGAAGCAAGAAAATGATGGATGATGAAATTTCAAATAAATTTTGATCGGGTTTGGCAATTGGCACGTCCGTCAATGAATTTTGCAACTCACAAAAAATGTAAAGTGGCAATAAAGAATCTTGAAGACGACCACCTACTACTCTCTTAATTAATTAGCTTTCAGAATAACACAACATTTTTACTATTGTATACAGTACAAAACAAGATGAAACAACGTTAATTATTTATAGTACGTATTAGAATTCAGACAAAGCTTAATAATCAACTAATATAATTATCCATTAACAGGGGATTAACAGATGAGATGGATAACAAACACGAAAAAGGGAAGGGGTACAACGGGAATAGCAAAGGCGGCATGGAAAGTGGAAAGAATGAATGGAACAGTAAACTGACGGCGTCACGGCGATGAGCGTTTACTGGTCGAGAGCGTTGGGGCCAGAACAGTAATTTTTGTAATGGTTCCAGAGCCACTGGACCAAGTAGCGCCGTCTAATCCCGTTCATGTTGTAGGTGGCGCCGTCTCCGCCGTTCAACATTTGGCCGGTGTAGGAGCCGCCGCCGCCGGTGCCGTATATGCCTTCACAGAGATCCGCGATTTCCACCGGGAAGACGGGGTCCCCGCCGGCGTACCACGCGTTCACCAACGGGTTCGTGGACAGCTCCGCAATCTCGTGGCCTATCACGCTTATCATCCCGTCCACCCCCACGTCGCCGTTAGGGGATTTCACGGCTTTCAGGCCGGGAATGTAGCTGGGCACGGCGAAGGGGTAGGCGCACGTGCCCGGGCAGAGCTTGGCGGAGTTCCCCACCCACGCGTACGGGAGCGTGTAGCCCACGATGGACGGGAAGGTGAAGTAATGGAAGCCGCAGACGTTGTTGCAGAAATCCTGAACGTACACGTCGTCGGAAGTGAGCAACAAGTAGACCCCACTCTTGGGATTAACGGGCAACGGCCGGGTCTTGGCGGTGACGGCGGCTTTGATCACAGTCTGAACAGTCAAACGAGTCAACGACTTACCATGAGAGTAAAACCGGTCATTCTTCTCATCTCCGATGTGGACATTCCGGGAAATATTAGCCCCGGTCTGATCAGTATACAGCTGAACCGTCTTCCACCACCCGGCGACGGACGGCGGTTTGGAATCAGCGGCGGAGATTGCAGTAACGAACTCCCGAATAATCCGCTTCTGGGCGTTCGTCCACCGCCCATACCATATCGGATAAACGGTGATATTGGCTGTGAGAACAGGGCCCATATGGTACTTCAAGTGGATGAGATCCGAGGAGCCCTCGTACTTCTTAGACCCACCAAACATAAAGTCGGTGGCACTGTAATTCTTGTTGTGCCATGGCCGCCACCCACTAACCGGCGGCGCGCACAGGAAGAACACTCCGACAAGGAGAACGACAAACCGGAAAATGCAACACCGGCGCATTTTAGTGGGAGTAGCTCACAAATTTACTTGCTAGCGTGCTTGAGAGTGTAGATATATATGTATATGTATATGTATATGAGATGAGAGGAGTGGAGTGGCGCAGTGTAAATAGGTACAAAATTTGAATAGAGCGATGCTTTTGGCTTTAAAGGTGGGGTGGTAAATGGTAATGGAAGACAGGTGGATTCTTAAAAGTGTAAGGTGGGTGGTGAGGTGGGGCCTACTGTCGAGTGTGTCATGATGGCGATGGCGTCCTCGCCGTTTGGTCACCGGGGAAACGGCAACGCCGGCAAAGGGCACTTTCGGGATTTCATAACATTGTCTTCATCATTCACCCATGCATGTGGAATATTATTTCCCTTTTAACATCAAATTAACCTCGTCCCCGGTGACAGTATTTGAAAGAAGAGACTAAGATTCGAATATCCACCATAGTAATACGAGAATTATGTTTAAAGTGGGTAAATTTCTTATACACATTATATTTGGCAAGCATTTAAACGGATTACTAAATGTGTATATTATTTTCTTAAAAAGACTTGTGAATGAACAATGGTAAGTGGAGCAATTGGGTTTTCCATTCTAAGTTTGGAAGAAACAGCATCCCGTCAAGGATATGCTTGGAGTTTGAACCCGCCATGAATTATTCGGTGCCCCGACAGCCTTGTTCACACTTTTGCAACTTGCACATTTTCTAATTATTATTTTTTCAATGCCACAGTTATTTTTTATTTTAAAAACAAGTTTATAATCATTACTATCTAAAAGTTTATTTTGGATGAAACTTATTTTGTAATTTTAGTTGGTAAAAAACTGAAAATAAATCAGTTTAAGTTGTTCATATATAACTAATTCAGAAAAATAAACTTAAAATCATGTAATTAATTGTCTAATAATTTGAGTCGGTTTAAGTGTCATTTATCTACACTTTTTGATGCGGGTGTAGGTCTTAGGGTCTTGAATTACAAAGACATTTTAGTATGTCGTTTTCATTAAAAGAAATTTGTGAATGGACTGTTGTTTTGATGTGTACTAAGATGATGTATTTAGGTCCATTATTTGATTTGATAGCACTTCTAGGGTGATGTCTAATCCAATCCTCAACTTTTATACTAAAAATTCTTACCTAGAGAACCTTCCCTATCAACCTTTTCTCTTCCAAACATAGATGAAGAATTTTTCTTATTTAATGTTGATCCTCCTAACTTATTTTACGTAATATATATATATCTTCTTTTGCGCTGAAGAAGAAATTATTATAACTTACTAACAAAATATAATACAATTTCATTAAGCATATTAAGTTATTACCTATCATAAAAACTCTCATAAGTTATGCATGAGATTGTACAGCAAACCACGTACGAAAGAAGTGAATCGCGTTAAGAAAATCATATACAAAGGACTTAATAAAAAAAGTATTAACAATAACTAAATTTATAATCTTTATGTACGAAAATTATATTTCACACCTTCCGTCGAGCCACATTTTCTAAAATTGTTTATCTGTTAGAATGCACTGATAAGTACTACGTAACAGTGTAACACCAACAGGTATGTACTATGTATTATTTTTAATTTATATATTTAAAAAAAAAATCGAATGATAGCAAGTAGGGGTGAATAAGATAATTGAGTAGGAGCAAGATGGTAGGGCCTATAGAGACGAATGGTGTTAATAAATCACGGAGTGAATGGCGCTGATCTAATAATGTTTTGGGCATTGGAATTGGGAGAAAAAGATGAGCAGTCATGATGGGTGGACCTCACCAATTATCATATATTGTATGCATAAAATCTAAAAATACAAATTTTACTATTATATTTTTACCCATCAATCAACACCGATGTCAATAATATTAAGAAATAGTATATAATTTCATTAAACAAAATATGTATATTGATGCTTAAACGTAGTGTATAGAACTAATCGAATCAAGCTCAAGCCATCATCAAGTATTGAAAAAAGTGACTCGAATTCATACTCGAGTATTGGTTAACATGTATGCTTGATAGGGATATCAACTAAGAAAATTTATTTGGAATTCATACTCGAGTATTGGTTAACATGTATGCTTGATAGGGATATCAACTAAGAAAATTTATTTGTAATGGGTAATTAGAGAAATAATCGATATCTTTTTGAGACGGTACAACTTATTGTTCATCTTTACTCATTAACATTAATTCATTTGTGACACTAACTTGAGTATTATTCCTTATACGTCAAATTGATTTTTTAAAAAACCCACACAATGTTTCAAGTTCGACTCTATATGAGAGCTACTTAATGATATTCTCGATTTGAGCTGATCAACTATAGAAAACTTTCTTTTAAAAAAAATTATAGAAAACTTAAATTGATTTATCTCATTGAAATCATTTGTTAGCTAAAATCATGTGACAAACTTCACCTAAAGTATACATTTAAACAAGGATGATAAATTTTCGAGAAAAGGGTCAAATAGGCCTCTAAACATTTCGCTAAAGGTCAATTAACCTCACAAACTTTTAAAAGGATCAATTGAACACATGAACACACAATTTTGAGTCACTTGACCCCATTAATCGGTAACTTTTCCCTGAAGAACCGGTATTTGACCATGTTGCGCCACATCAGCTTTGTTTTATATTTTGAATTGCCACATTGGACTTTTTTATGTCAATTACCGGTTCTTCAGGGAAAAGTTACCGGTTAATAGGGTCAAGTGACTCAAAATTGTATGTTCATGTGTTCAATTGACCTTTTTAAAAGTTTGTGGGGTTAATTGACCTTTAGCGAAATGTTTAGGGGTCTATTTGGTCTTTTTTCCTAAATTTTTCTGTATTTTTAATAATTTTAAAATTAATTATTGTTCTTTTCACGTATACCGAAACAAATAATGTGTTAATTACTGTGAAGGCACGATGCACATTTAACCAAAGCATAAAGGCATTGGGAGCTTTTGGTTAGGAACTTTTTATAAGATTTTTTATTTTTCGAAGAGGATTTATCTCCCTTTTCGTATGCATATGTTGGCTATTACTAAAAAAGTCTACAAACACCTTGTAGATGGATGGACTCTCTTAAACGAAATTATCAATTATAATAGCATTATATTGCATGTATATTTACAAAACTGTTTGAATATTTGGTGTTGATTTGTTGTTTGGTGCTTCAATTCATTGAGTCACATGTGCATAGTTGAGTATATATTTAAGAGATAAATTCACAATTACAATAATTATGATCGATCATACATACTTTCATACCACTTGCATAACATTGTTACATGAAAACCTTATTCAATGATTTTGATAAGAGAATCATATTTTATCTACTCGATCATCTCTTTTAAGATGATTATTATTTATTTTTGAATGACACAAAAATTAGATAAATCTCGTATTGTAATCCTAATCGTCGTCGAAGGACGGAAAACATGGTGACGGAAAATTTGCAAAATGTCGAGAAAATATCTTTAAAAAATCTGGGAGATGAAAGCGCTTTCGGCGGTGGGAGTGGGAGCAAGCAGGTTTCACCACCTCGGAATTGTAAAACAAGTTAAGTCTTCATGGCATGCAATGGACCCTACGCGCGGTGACAGCGTTAGTCCAACACCGTTTTCAGGATTTTGAGGCCGATGCCATTAATCATGCTGCTAATTAATTCCGTTCGCATGAAACAAATTATTATTATTATTGGAAAAAAAAAAAAAAAAAAAAACATTTTTACGAGACACGATAAGTCCATAATATTATGTTTCATATTGTACAGTTAATGGTGGCTACAAACCATAATCTAGTATGTGAGATTTTTAGGTTAATTTTTAACATATTTAAAAGGAAAAGGAAAAACTTTTAATTATCTAGGTTACTAGGTACAGTGAAGTCAGTCATTCAATTAGACACTTTAATTTTGATGTCCTTATTACTAGTGTAGTGACATTTATTTTCGGATTAAATAGAACTATTAAAGACGACTAATTTGTCACAAAATTTAATTTTTGCAGTGTTAAACTTATAAATTTATCTTAGTGTTATTATGCACTCCACATCAAAGAAAAAAAAAATATTATGCATTCAAGTTATGTAGGTTGAAGTCACAAGTTTTAGGGTAAATTCAAGTTGTTATTATTATCATTATTATTATTATTATTATTATACTCAAATAAGATATTTTTGAGTAATGATTAGGTAGGGAAGAAATGATTTATGACGTGAACTCTTTGAGAAAAAGTCCAATGTAGTTTTGTTTTGTTCCTGAACTAACAACAGATGACTGTCAATGCCACTTGCACAACGTAATAATATATATAATGTTAATACCAATTATTAGAGAGGACATAAACAGGGGAAAATGAACAGAAACCGAAATTAAACACAGAAAATCTCAATTATTTATCCACTTGGTATATCGTCTTCCCTACTATTTGGGTAATCAGGAAACCAACAAAACATGTCCTAATCAAAATATATGCATGCTGGTAGGAAAGAGTGCAGAGAATCCACATAGTTTGAAAAGCTCAATCTCAAAAGACGAAGTCCCTCACCCCAAGCTCCACATCCCAGCCAGACAAAAATTGTGACGAAATAAAGATAGGATTGTAAAGGGGTAGACTCTCAATGACTCAACGGTCTCTCACCACTACCTATCTCCACACCCCAAGCCACGAGGCCTCTCTCCAACCAGAGAGGATTGAGACGAGATAAATTCTCGATAACTCAGCAGCCTACTAGTGCTTGGTGCCCAACGGAGCCCAGTAGCCGACCACATTAAGTAAAACTAAATCTTTATTAATGTTATGTTAATAATTTCTCTGTATTAATGTTAATGAACATTGCTACTTTCATTGACATATGGTATCTTGCCTGCCTGATGTGAAAAGCAACATAGACAGTCAACTCTGTACAGCTTCATCAATTAATATGTTTTGTTTCTCATGAAAATTATGTGTGTATGATGGTAATTTGGTTGACTTAACAAAATTTTGTGAAGAAAAAGTCAAGAGGAAGTACAGAACCTCAATGGACAGCCTGGGACACTTGCAGAAATACTAGGTAAAATCATCTGCAGTCTGCAAACTCAGGCATTGGTTTAGGACTTTAGGTGCCTAACTAACAGGAAACACTTTAAAGTCAATGGTCATTAATAAAGAAGTACCCTTCACAGCAGTTAGGACATCCCAGAACTTCAATCACCATATATGAAATGCATGTTCGAAAGAAAGACATGCTAACACAGAATCGAGCATTGAATGGATGAAATAATGAAAGATAAGTCGTGAAGAGAGATCGAAAGCAGGAAAATGATCAACATTGGCATTGAAATTGACAAAATTGTTCTAGTTCCTAACATTGAAAGTCTTTGCTGAAATTTAAAAAATGTAACTCCAAAACCGAATGATGCTATAAACTGGCTACAACCTTCACACCCGTGAGGAGTACGGGATGGAAATTCCAAATTACCATTATCACCAGGGAGGCACACAAACTAAGAGTCGGCAATGGTGACTTCAACCTCGACCCCAGGTTCAATAGTAATTGACGTAATCTGTTTGACTACTTCTGGGGAGCTGAAGAGGTCAATAACCCTCTTGTGAACACGAAGTTCAAACCTGTCCCAAGTGTTAGTACCTGTAAAAGAAAATGCATAACTACAAACCTCCATAACTCCATTCCAGAATCTTTTTACCATAAAATAATTGCTATAGATCACTTTCCACCAAGAATACACAAGTAAACTATGGTCGTATTTAAAGAAAGTGAATTCAAGTTAAATGTACAGTCCATCGGATCTTGCAACAATAGTACCTTCTCCACAGGGAGACTTCCTAGTGGTAATGTGAAGAACTTTGGTGGGCATCCTCACTGGTCCCTTGACCCTAAGTCTTTTGTCCTTAGCACCTCGAACCAAATCACCGCAAACTGTTTATATATTAACCAAACAGAAAGGAAAATCATCCAACTGAGTAAATTAGATGAAGACAACAATGCCTCAGCTAAATGCAGTAGAGTAACTAGAGAAATAAAATTGCTCCTCCTACAACAACCACCATGGCTTTACCATAATCCACAACAGTTTACTTTGGATTTTGAAAGAAAGTCCATCTTTTTACAGCACCACCAAGTCTATGACAAAGAGGTTCCATAGAAAGATGACATAAAAACTCAAACTTAACAATTCCATGAATCACAATGCCACAATGGAACATTATGACTATTATAAATGGCAATGTAATAATCAGCAACATGTTTCTACCTCAAAGCTAACATTTTTAATTCTATAGTCAGATAAATATGAAATAAACATGAAAGTAAAGTATAAGAAGAGCAACATAGTTACATAATCAAACATACGATCGCAAACACAATAAAAAGCAGCAAAAATATACATTATGGTGAGAGTGAGAGAAAGAGACCCTTTTCGAGGTTCTTTACGTTCTTGGAGGAGAGAGTGATTCTGATCTTATGAATCTGCTCCTGGGGCTCCTCCAACCCTGCTTTCGTCGGCTTCATTGCTTGGTATGCCATTCTTTTGCTCTGTTAACAGCTCAACTAAATTATTCCAATTCGAACAATAACAGTTCCAGAACACATATAGATGCAAATGAGAACAAAGATATACAGAGAATTAGAAGTTACCGGATATAAGTTGAGACGGACGGACGGAGGAAGCTGCAGTGGAAGTGAGCTGGATACCGTCGGGAAAGCTGCAACCCGTAACAATTTTTGTATAGGTGTATCTATCAGACTATCAGAGGACTAGGGTTTATTCAATTGGGTTGGGCTTCCAATTCTAGGGTTTATTCAATTGGGTTAGGGATCCAATTTGTGGGTTTCTTTGATAAATCGGGTTAAATTGGATAAGATTGTTACGGTGAAATCATAAAATTAAATTAAGAATACAATCAAGCTCCTTGCTTTATATTCACTTTATATCTCAGAGGGTACTTCCTTACAAGCTAGTGCTTCCGACCTTATAGTATGAACTATTGTTTGGTCATTATCTAGCTCCCGACTTTATAGCATGGACTATTGTTTGGTCATTGTCTAGCATCTCTAGCGTTTGGTCCATTTTAGTTCTTCACTATCACGGGTGAATAAACTCTCCCAACACTCATAATTCTATTATTAGCGTTATTTGGTTCATTTCCTATATATATAGTACAAAAGGAGTATATAGTTGTCATTTTGTTATCTACTTATCTATATACTTTGATAACAATGTTACTCTGTGTGTGTATATACACAATTGCTATTATTAAATTTTGAATGACTTTATATCTAACGTTTGTAGCCATAGTATTTGCTATGGTTCGGGAGGAATATGTAATTGTGCATTCAACATACAAATATTCAATTCATGGACCAAACATTAAGTATCTAAAATGGAAATAAAATTAAAAGGAGCATAACATGAAGAGACACTCTTGTACTGTATAATACGGAGTAATAATAATAATAATCCATCATTTCCAAGCAAAAATAATCATGTCAAAATCACAAAATTTAGTTTAACAAAGGTTTCCCTTGGATAAAACTACTATCTCCTGTCCCTTCCTTCTTGTCATTTAGGAACTTCTGCTCTCTAGCCTATGCCACAAGGGTGCTGGCAGTGGTTGACTCGCTGCACATCACGAATGCAAAAATCAGTAAGAAAAATTGGATCAAAGGCCAAAAGGACAAGGGAGATATGATTGAATTATTTGCTTTGATACTTCTTACTACTAGCTGTGTCCATAAAGCTCATTACAAGTACCCAAAAGACTCGTTTCCAATGGGAGTCTCTTCCCGAGAGAGATGGCTAATATGTAAATTTCATCCACTCCCATTGTACACAATGACCATTACATGAGGTAATATGAGCCCAAATGACGCACACAACACTCATAAGTTGGCATTTGAGTTTTGACACAATGAAATGAGCAACATCTAAACTTTTGCCTATCTCAGTATCTATATATCAGAATATAATTTATGGTATGTACTGTGTGTTAAGTCTGCAGATGCCTAGAGGCAGGCTCAAGATTCCTTTATAACTTCTCATGGAGGACATTCTCGAGGTGCTTGATAAAAAGGTATACAATATACTAATGCATTAGCTATTTGCAGAGCTCAAGTTATTCTATAGAATGAAGAACTACATAAATAGCAGGCTAGAAGACAACAGGTAATAATCTAGCAGAAAAACAATCTTATGGAGTTATGGGCTGTAAAGTTATGTGCATTCGAAAAAAGAGACCAATTTACATCTACAAATTCTGGAATCTAAAAGTGAGAATAGAGGAAGAAATCTTACTATTTCCAAACTGGGGGGAGCTTCTTGGTCTTCTTGTAGTAACGGGCAAGGCGGTGGATCCTGCTCTCAACCAAAATGAGACGGAACTTGGAATCCTTGTCCTTTCTATTCCTCTCCAAGTGCTTCCTGATTGCAACAGCCTTCTTAATGAGGTGGTAGAGATCCTCTGGAATCTCGGGAGCAAGCCCTGCACCCACACCATACATCAACACACATTCTATCCACAAACCAAAGCCCCATAATAGTTATAGATTGACTAACAGAACACAGTTATGGTGACAAAAACAATACCATGAGCCTTGAGGATACGCAGGATTTTGCTGCCAGTGACACTCTTCACCTGAGCAATTCCATGTGAATCTCGCAGAATAACACCAATCTGCGATGGTGTCATGCCCCTCTTGGCATGCTTACAAATGCTCTCATCCACCTTAAATCATTAAAAATACAAAACAACACAAAAACAATGACCAATTCGTTCGAGCATTCAAATTAACGCCAGCAAAACATGTATAATGCCTAAGAAAGAAATAAAAACAAATACAGTACAAAGAAATAATTTTTTTTCATACATTGCAGGTGGTTAACTAATACTCCGTATTGTTTTTGGTTTTCTAAAAGCAAAATCAGTTGGGTTACTCACATCTTGAGCGGAGATCTTGAGCCAACTCGGAGGAGTCCTCTTGTAAGGAAGAGCTGAAGATGAGATACCCTTACTGAAATCCAACAAGTAAACATAAATCAAGCGATTTTTTGAATTATAGGTCAGACAATATAATGGAATTTATAGTTAAGAAGAAAGGTAGAGAAACAGAGTTTAATTTAGGTACGAGCACATACCCGCGGCTGTGCATACGACCCATGGTGGCGGAGGTTGTGGTTGAGCTCGGACGCTAGCTGCTGTAACCTCCTCGATCGTCTGTCTTCTCCCTCAAACTGAAACTGAAAGATGATAACCCTAGCTATCTTAAAAAGTGTTGTTCTGTGCTACTAGGGTTTATTAAAATTTAATTAAAGATACCAGAAGGCCCAGTGCAAGCAAGAAAAGCCCTCTTATCGGCCCAATGTAAAATAAAATCGACCCAAAAGGGCAATGATCACGCTTAGAGGTGTGCTATCGGTTAATCGAACTGTTTTAATTGAAATTTTTAAAAGTTTAAATTTAACAATTTTATATTGTCGAATCGAAGTTTTTTTTGATTAATCGATCGGTTAACCGAAGTTTTTTAAATTAAAGTTTTAAATCTTTAAAATAATACCTATAATAATAATTTTAATTAAAATAATACTTAGAACAATAATTTTAATTAAAATAATACATATAATAATAAATTCATAAGAAAATATACAAACATAATACTATAACAACACTAAAAACAGAAAAACACAAATTATAAAGTCCACACACACATATATATAATTTTATTTTTAAAAAAATTTCCGTCAACCGATAGTTTCGAACCAAATTAACCTTTAACCGAAATCATATATATAATTTTATTTTTAAAAAAATTTCCGTCAACCGATAGTTTCGAACTAAATTAACCTTTAACCGAAATTTTACAAATCCAAAACCGAAATCATATATATAATTTTATTTTTAAAAAAATTTCCGTCAACCGATAGTTTCGAACCAAATTAACCTTTAACCGAAATTTTACAAATCCAAAATTTGCACACCCCTACTCACGGTAACACTTAAGATCCGTATAATGAATTCTCAGCTCCACTTTTTTTTTTAGTACATACTTTCTCAACTTACTGAGGCACACAGAGTCAATGTATTCGAACTTGTGACCTTCCATTTAGGAGGAGAGCTACAGTTATACCGTTCAATCACAAGGTCTTTGGCAATCAATAGTTAACTCGATTCACGAGCCATAACAACACAGAGTCAATATGTTCGAACTTGTGACCTCCCATTTAGGAGGAGAACTACCGTTATACCGTTCAATCACAAGATTTTTGGCAATCAATAGTTAATTAAATTCACGAGCCATAGTTATGCCGCTCAATCACAAGGTCTTCGACAATCAATAGTTGATTCGATTCACAAGTGCATTTTTTACTACTATAAGCCTATAAGGAGAGTATTAGATACTTAACCACTTTAACGCTAATTCAATGTCATTTCTTTAACCTAGGGTGGTAGCTCAAGTGGCAAATATGAAGAAAAATTCTCAAATGACCCAAGTTCAATTCGCACAAGTAAAGATTCCCCCAGTGCTAGCTCCCATGGCCTCCCGAAGCGAACAAAGACCCAAACCATGAAAAAAATGTCATTTTCTAACAACAAGGCTATTTTTACAAACTAAAGTTAATGGTTTTCATTCTCCAATAGATGGATTACCGAGGACAAAAAATAAATCGTAACAAGCTGGTTGCTGACTTTTAATATTGAGGGGAACTATACACATGTTATAGTGAATGAATCTCAAGTACATGATTCCAAAGATTGAAAGGTTCAGACTACTGAAATCCAAATACACAACCCCTGAAACATCCAAAACCCGCAAATTGTTCAATAACAAACAAATCAGAAACGAAAATAAACATCAAGGCAGAGATTTAGAAAATGCCCTTCAAACGCGCCATGCAAAAGACTAGCCTGTAGAAGGAAGCAAACTAGGAACTCCGCTTCATTCAAGGTACAACCAATAACTAATGTTGCCTGCATTTGAAGATTTAATGTCAGTATAAGCTCAAAAACATCAATGCCCCTATCCAAGTCTCGATAAACATATAAAGGAGTGAGAAGAAGATATGAACAAAGAAAGAGTAATCAAGTAAATCATGAAGTTGTTTACAAGTAACTGTTTTCGTATAAGTTTCTGCTAAAGCCATGCCAGAGTTTCATGGATCTTAAGGTGCATTACTTAAACACAACATAAAATCCATACGAAGTTGGTAAAATATCAAAATAGGAGTTTTAAAGTATAACTGGATAAGTATTCAATTCCAAGAAAGCATTTCTCCAAGTTTTTCAAATTTTCCTCATTCTCTCATTCTCTGCAATAATCTATTTAACCTGTTTATGGGGACTAATTAACATGTAGACTGCATTGAGGTGGTTCATGGTTCGGAGAGAGGAGTAATTCAAGAATTGGGTTTGGTATATGTGTGTGTCCATTCTATAACAGCCTATACATCGTCACTTATCTATCCCTCTATGACCCACATGGCCACATTGACAAATTGAAAACGGTTTTGTACCAATTAACTGAATAACATTGTTTTGGCCTATCATATAACATGATAAAAGTCATGCACATTTGAAAATGAGTGTCAAAGTGAGAAAGGAAGCTGCTAGTTAATAACAGCATTCCCTATTATGACCAATTCGGTAAGTTTTAACATAGGTTTATAGTAATCACTAATCACCTCCATCCAATAAATCATTAGTCTCATCAATCACATCATCACTCAACTACTCAACTCCCACCCAGCAAGGCCGCTCTAGACTTTTGGTAACAAAAGAGATGAATCTTCACAGACTTACATAATAGGTAGAGTTCATCTTTCAAACAAAAAATTGCAGTATGCCCTCACAGAAAACTTCTTTTACTAATTGCCTCCATCAATGAAACATGAGTCCTACCAATGAAGGTCTCCCAATACTTTTGGTAGTAAAAGACAATAACTTCAGAAACTTTAACAAGATGTTTACTTTAAAAGAGGCAAACATAGAATAATGAGCATTGATATTGCAAAAACTGCACCATGCTCTCAAAGGAGATCTTTGGACTTTCTACTCATCCAGATACTACAGTCCTCCAAAGTTGGGCAAATTGCTATTTCCAGTTATTCCTTAAAAACACACCCAAAAAATAAATAAAATCATTTTATTAAGTTTCACCCAATTCGAGCTAATAATAGCATTTTCTTTTTAAAAATCCAAACTTTCATCCATCTACAATGTCTATCTGGCCTACCTAGTTCAACAAAAAATTATTGACCTACACAAGAGGATTGTTTTCTATGATCCCCCCATTTTGATGGGATTTCTTTTAATTATAAACTGCGGAGTAAATTGCAATACACGCTCAAAATTTAACCAAAAAAATCAAATTCTGCTAACAATAAATGGCGAAGAGTAATGAATTATAAAGTTAATAATCAAAAGAAATGAGTCGAGCAATGAAAATTGTGAAGAATAATAGACTCACAGGAGGAAATCATTTGGCAACCATGCGAGCGATGAAGTCCTCATAGCGGATCTTGCCGTCGGATCCACAATCAACCTCGCGGATCCACTCATCAAACTCCGCAGGCTCGAGCTTCTCCCCGATGCTGGTGAGGATGTGCTTGAGATCCGCAACGACAACGAAGCCCGAGTTGTCCTTATCGAGGACCTTAAAGGCGTCGCGGAGCTGGCGATCGAAGGGCTCGGGCTTGAGGTGCTTGGACATGAGGTCGAGGAAGCGCTTGAAATCGAACGGCGAGCTGAGCTTCTCCTCGGAGATGATGGATTTGAGCTGCGCCTGGGTCGGGTTACCACCGAGTGACCTCATGAGGATGCCGAGCTCGGACGGCGCGATCTTCCCGTCGCCGTCGGTGTCGAACAACGTGAATGCCTCCTTCATGGAGGATATTTGATCGCTGCTCAGATCTTTCCCCATTTCTCCCTCTCCCTTTCTCTCTCTGTCTTTCTCTGAGCTTTAGAGAAAAGAAAAGCTTCGGTGAATGATGTTAGATGGAGATGAAGCAAAGGGTCGAAATGCAAATCATCAAATAAATAAACCTAATCTAATATTTAACCACAATAATTTTTTCTTTTTGTATCAAATTAAATTATTAAAATTACATAAATAAAACAAACATGCACCCCAAAAAAAGAAATGTTTTCCCCACTTTGGAGCGATGAGGAGTATGATCTTATAGGATTGATTAGTATACATATTCTAGGCATGAGGAAGTCTCGGCACCATATATTTAGTCGTGGGAGATAATAAAACTTTTATCAATAATTGGTACTTTTTGAATCGAATACCATCGTGTATGCATATATAATTGTATTCCGTACTAATAATTTTAATTGTGTTTGGTTAAAAAATACTCTTTTTTTATTGAGGAAAGTCATAATCAATGTCCAATTATGTGTATTGTATAAATCACACTATTGTGTATTTGTAAAAAAAAATAACACATGAATGAGAAGTAAATTGCATTATGAATACCATGTTTAATGAAATCAATTAAAAATGTAGGTATGGGTTAGGATGTAAGATTCCCGCTGCTAAGGTAGCGGTGGCAAAATGATAGGCTATCCTAAAGGAGATCGATTGGGCACGGAACAAAGAGTTCAAAAAAGTGATCGTGCATAATAACTTTAATAATGTAACTAGATGAACTGAAGGAAGCGATTCTCCAATGACCCGCTGAGAACATCATTGATGGATGCATTAGAATAGTAAATACTGGGATCTCTCATTCCATCATGACAATACGTCTATCGGGAGCATAACGGGGTGCAGATATATTGACAAACCAAGCTTGTCATGCAAACATGAGGTGGATTGATTGGGAAGAACCTCCACCTAGTGCAGTGAGAGTTTAATTGAAGACACGGTTGGCCTACCATGTTGATAATAACTAAATTTGTGACATTTAGATATGAAAATTTGTGTATGGATACTAAATTTTCAGGCCAAATGATATTGGTCTTTAACAAGTGCAATGAACAAATTGAACATAGTTAATTGCAATATATATGTATTTTGGGTATGGGCTACTATTAGTATAACTTTTTTCGGAGAATTAAAACAGGTTGGGCCTAACAAAATTAAAAGCCCATTACATATATTATCATTATGATTCCATACATGATACATATATAAAGTGATGAAAGAATGGACCCGGGCAAATCGAAATGGACCATCTGCAGCCCAGCCCAAACATTTTAACAAATAACTACTCCGTAAATTATATATAAAATAAAATAAAATAAAATAAACTGGCCACATATTTGATCATAACCGGTCACACAAAGTAAGTCACTTTTACAAGTTATAATGCATATGAAGAGAATAAAGGAAAAAAGAAAAAGCCTTTTTTGATCTTTGTTCTTAAAATTAACCTTTTTTGCATTATCATCATTACATGATGCCTTTATTTTTATTTTTTCCCTTCCTTTTAAAAGTATATAAAGGAGACTTTCACATTGGGATTTGGATAATTGGATGCATATATGCATTGTCTAGTGGAACAAACTGAGAGCAAGAATTCAAAAACAAAGACAAAAAAAATAAAATGAATTGAATAACAATAATTATATGATTCTACTGGTTACCTATATTCACATAAGAAAATAAAAATTCTTTTATTAATTATGATGATCATCAAAACTAATTATATTAATACATTTTCAAAATTATTCATATATTGTACTGTATGACATATCCCCACACCCCGACCCACCCCAATTCATTCTACTCGAACAATATTCCATGTTTTGAAGCGGTGTTAATTGGACAAGAAAACTAAGGCATCTTGCTTTTTGGTATAATTAAAGTGTAAACGAACCAATATTGCGTTGCACTTCTGAAGTGTTCTTAGCACATGCATGATGTTGTTCGTACGTTGCCATATATTATTGTGTTTTGACTCCTCAACTCATATCTTTAACTTTTATGAAGCTATATATATATATATATATATATATATATATATATATATATATATACCACGATGGAATATATACTGGACGTGATAGCTAAAAAGATGTGAATTAAAGTTGTATTTGTCACTTCTCCAAAAGCAACGTGAAAGTGAAAAAGATGCCTGCTGCTCCATTGCTTTTGCACACCCATCGGATAAAGGAATATCAAGAACAACCTCTAGCACATTCTTGATTATTTAAGTTTTAGTTATGGCAATTTAGCCAATAATTTCATTAAGTTGAAGAAATAGGTATGAACATATATTACATTGTAACAAAGATAGTATTAAAAAAAAGGTTATAGACATTTAAAGTTGATTGATTTTATTTTTAGTAACTTTTTATTGGCTAAATCGATTACTTAGAATTTGCATTTTATATATATAGAGAGGGGCAATCATCAGTTTTATTCAAAAATGGAATCAAATAATATTACTGATCGAGACTGTACTGTATACTCGGCCAGGCCAGTTCATCTATCTCTCTCCACGCACTGTACTACAGTCAAAATGTACGATCTGTATCTATCAGAGAGCTGTACTGTAGTGTTCATCATTCTATTGTAGCCCTGTGATCATTGGTATAACACAGCCATAAAGACCGGACCAAAACCTAGTTCCATTCAACCTCACCTCACCTCCCAAAACATGTGCAACCACAACCTAGCTATATCATAAAAGAATCTAGCCCTGCACTTCCTGGGACCAGATATGCATGCAAAGAATAATAAGCATGGGCATTGGGCAACACAAAATATTATAAAATCTCTGTCTCTCTCTCTTTCTTTCCCTTAAAAGCCACAAAACCCTGTTATGTTAAACCCATTAACGTACATACCCAGATTGCTTGCTTGCTTTAATTTGCTTTCGTTACCGTCTGTTCTTTAATTTCCCCAAAGCATATATCATGCATGCATGCCAAGATTATGATAATACAGACGGTGCAGCTCTTTATCCTCAAAACCCACAAATATTATCGTCTTTTGATTTTCTCTTCTCGGAAGAACCCAACAGCCTTCCTTGTGCTTGTTGCTGTGTCTCACCATGGGCAATCTAATCTCTTATTGTCCACAAAAGACAAAATTTCCTTGCTCTCAAGACCTTCACACTCCGATCTAGCAAGATAGTGCTGTAATATATATAATGCACAAGTTAATACGAACTTAATTTGACACCGATTATGGTTTTTGATCTCATGAGCTGTTACTATTATATTAAACAATATTGATGTTATTATTCTTAGATTTGAATTTGAAAATGTTAAAGGAGTTGGAGTCCAGAGAATCTCTGAATAAAGGGGTTTTGATTTCATTAAAAAGGGGTTGGTATTGCTGATCATGCCGAGTGCAACTTTTCAGCATGTACTAGTACGTATATGTTAAGATGACTAGCATGGCAGGTGGACCATGGACCTCATCACTATAGTTAGTCCTCTCGTTAGAGGTCACTCTCCTTTTGAGGACCACCGTTTTATTGAATTATTACCAGCCAACCTACTTCTTCGGACTAATTATTTATTAGAGGCTTTTCTAATTTTTGCTATATATTTTTCAGGTTATTATATATAGGGCAACTTATTGAATAGTTCAAACAATAACTCAATAAATCAGATACTACATTATAAAAAATTATGAGTATTTAAAAAAAAAAAAAAAGAATGACCAGGGATCGAGTCTCACTAGCGGCAGTGTGGGAGCAACCTCTCAAAGTGAGCAGGACTCCTTGTGCGCAGTAAGCAAGGTCTAGCCCGCAAATTATGCTGTGCAACCGAATGCACCTTGCAAGGTGCATACGGTTGCAAAACGGCGCCGTTTTGGTTAAAAAAACGCGTGTCTCACTTAAAGAAGAAATCAGGTTCGATTCTCGGCAATAGCATTTTTATATATCCATAAATTCATAACTATATATCCACAAATTCATAACTATATATCAACAGTGAATGAATGAAGTAAAAATTCACAATGAATGAATGAATGAATGAAGTAAAAATCCACAATAAATGAACTAAATATCCACAATGATTGAACTAAATATCCACAATGAATGAACTAAATATCCATAAATTCATAACTATATATCCAGAAATTCATAACTATATATCCATAAATTCATAACTATATATCCACAGTGAATGAATGAAATAAATATCTACTATGAATGAACTAAATATCCACAATGAATGAACTAAATATCCATAAATTCATAACTATATATCCACAAATTTATAACTATATATCCAGAAATTCATAACTATATATCCACAATAATGCTATTGCCGATAATCGAACCTAGATTTTTTTTTTTTTAAATGGGACGCGCGTTTTTAGTCAAAACGACGTCGTTTTGCGTCGTATGCACCATGCGCATGGTACATTCGGTTGCACGGCATAACTATTGGGTCTAGCCTCTGTGGTTCATGTTCAGTTGAGTTACCATGCTTTACATATTCCCAGATGCTTTGTTGGGCCGAAATGTGAGGGCCCTTAATGTTGGGGTTTAGCCTTTTAAAAAAAATGAGTATTTTAAAAAATTAATAAATTAGTATTAAAGAATTAATATTTTCGAGAATCGGATTCAACTGACATAGTTATCCATCAGTCACCTAACTTGCTCTATAGGAGTCAAGATAGAACAACCTAAGGCTGTTACATTTTATTACTAAATTGAGTTGTAGCAATCATCTATTGGTATTTAGGATTGTGCAAATTTTGGTAAAAGTGTCAAGGGTGCGGGACAAATTTATTTATCACATGAATAAATTTACAAATATACCATTAGAGTTATCTAATTACAACAATATTATTATCACAATTAATAAATGATCTCCTGCGATTCTATAGAAATAATATAGTATAGTTAAACAACCAAATCATGTAAATCTTTTTATTTATTTATTTATTTTTATCGACCTTTGTTCTTGTCTTGTTATCGTGTTTCTCAACAATTACAAATAATACTAAACATTGTTTAATTGTTAAAAAGCTGAGATTATGGTATTAAACACTGTTATCTATACTACAGGATCGTCGTCACCCTAGTAACAACCATTTTGTGATTGTC